TTCAGTTTATGAAATGACGGATCAGCCATCCCATATCCTATCTACCTTAATTCAAAAGGCTTAAACGTCCAGCCGCCAGCGCTTTGTACACTGGATCAATGACTTCTGGTCCGAGACTCTTGAGTGCATCCAGGTGACGATTCCTTCTCCTCGCTGCAAATCCCTTATCATCAATGCTTTGGCTTTCTCCATGAGGTCCAAACGTCCAGTAACCGCCGGGCTGCCATGGGTTTTGCCCCTGAATGAACTCGATCCATTTCTTCTGCATCTCGATGGACACCGCCTGTGCCGCAGGGTTAAAGGACAAGTCAAACGCACCAAACACATAGAGAAGGTCAACGGCGTGATGAGCTCGACTCGAAGACTGCCAAGGATTAGGCTGGTCCACCAGAAAGCGGAACACTGGACATTTGGCCTCCTGCCAGGTTTCCGTCATCATCTCAACTGGTAATACGAATCTTGCGTCATTTAGAAAGTCCAATGCACCATATTTGCATGCAGAAGGTCGATCCTTCACGATTCCATACAGCCTGGACAGATCCGCGCTGGCACTTCCTGCGAGTTCGAAGGCCTCGGCAATTTGAGGTGCGGACAGCTCTTGCATCCCATTGTGCCATAGAACAGCCTGTATAAAAGAATATGAGTCAGTCTTGGAAGTCATATTGATATGTTTTTGATCTTCAACGTCGCTCACCTCATACTCCGTATCCCCAATAAGAAGCCTTTCTACCGACCCGTGTTTAGTTTCCCATCCATCAAGCGGCTCTTCGGCTTGAAGGAAGAAGGACACGAGCCCAAGTTCTGCTTGAGCTTCTAGCAACTTCTGGACCGGCGCATCGCGCATTGTCCATTTCCCGAGATTAGACAAGGCGCCTTCAAGCCTGCCAATAACAACACTCCCATTCGTTCGAGGTTGAGGGGGTGAAAGATAAAGAGAGCCAGATTGAAGAATGCATTGTCGTACCGGGGAGCCTATGGCCATGTGAGCATGACAATAGACAGCACCAGCGCTCTCACCTGCGAGAGTAACATTTCCCTGCAAATCAAACATTAGTATCATTATTAAAGAAGAGGGAAGAAAAACACCCTTGAACTTAAAGCCACTTACAGGGTCACCACCAAAATCAGCGATATGCGACAAGACAAAGTCGATGGCCATTCTTTGATCCTTCAAAGCGAGATTCACTTCACCTTTTCCATCCCCGAACGCGAAAGCATTCAGTCGATAATTGAACGTGACCACTATCATGGGTTTGGAAATCGTGATTGACCTTGCAACGAGATTTGTCGGATCTGAGCCGAACAATATCCTTATTAGGTACACTTCATTGAAGAAATACAGAGGTCACCATAATTGAAGAAAAAAGTAGTTACCACAAAGTCTGGATGAACTTGTGCCAAATGACACAGTTTGTGAACCTCCTGTATTAGATATGCATTAGTCTCATAGTTTTTGGCTGTAATCAAGGTTCGTCACTAACATACCATGGATCCATATAAGAACTGGTAGACAACTTCTGCTAGTTGAAGTCTTGGAAAAAGCGGGCGCGGTAATATCAAGATTGAGGCAGAGAAACTCGTCTTCTACTTGCTCAGCTATGGTCTCTTCTGGCGGGATTCGAAGCAAGTGGCGGAAATCTATGTGATTTTGAGGGCATCTCGGACTGTTGAACAAGCCTCAGCATTTACATCGTCATACCCATTATGATGGTGGCAAAGTCTCGGGAGTTCGCATGCGTACCCGTAAGACGTGCAATCAACGTTACCAGACAAGGTACTTGGGGCCGTTGGTGGTGCGAATCTTTCGGAAATACCTGCGTATTGCAGGCCACGAAATTGCCAGACATTACCAAATTGTAAGCCGTGCAAAGTGGCGCCCAAAGCGCTATGCTCCAAAGTAGCAGGCTTGTCCATCGCTAAAGATTTGTTCAGTCTGTCTGCCCAGAACCCCCTCTTTTTTTTTTCCTTCGGTGCGAGACTCAGTATCAAGTGTCGCTCAGAATCCCGACTACGACGAAGCCACGATGTGCAAATAGTATCGTGCTGACAGCTTCATAGGCGACGAAGAGGCTTCACTGTTTCTCGTCTCGAAGCTCTTTCTTTCCACCACCACTGAGGTGTCTTCTGGCTTGTCGCTTGCCCGGCCTTGTCCCACCTCCCGGCTCCAGGGCTGTCCCACACGTAAGTCCCACCTGTCCCACCCGAAGGTCCCCCGAATCTTTTTTTAATCCCATGTGGGCCCTTCGGTATTCGGTAGCTGTTGTCGAGCGGTAAGGTATAGCATACATAGCAACCCTGCCGCATCCCCGGAGCAGAAATAGATGAATGGCAGGTATGCAGGCACCAATAACATCCGGCCGTTATTAATCCAAGTAACAAGGTAGCATGCTATGCATATGCTTCGATCGGAAAATTTTGTCGCTCAAAAATCTAAGCGAGCAAAAAGATCGGCTTGCTGTTCATGTCTCGTAGCCCAGGTGCAGGTTCACATATCCCCAGACATATGTAGCGAGTTATCCGACCAGAAGGTCTTGGTAGCCACGCTCGAATTTGATGCATTCCACGAGCATTTCGCATGCCCATCTGCATTTTCCAGTATTATCTTAATGGACCATCATTGGTTTTTGTTCCCCTCTTACTCCACGCGCTAGAACGGCGGCCCATTCCGCGGCTGGTCGGCACTGGCATTCTTCCCCCGTAAGCGGGGCCCAGGTGACCGACCCCAGGCGCGTTCACCTTGATCAATTCATCACCTGCATCCGATGCACATCTTCCTCTGCTTCACCAACGCTACCCAATCGAACGGCTAGGGTCCTGTCACGTATATGAGGATGTCGCGAGGCACAGGCCCAAATTACAACCCGATATCCGCCCGTCGCCGTTCGAAGAATGCAAACCTGCACGTTTTGCCGTCGGACGTTTCAAAAGACAGAACACCTTGTCCGCCATCAACGCTCCCGTAAGTACCTAGGGCTAGTCTCAATCTGCGCGCATTCACCGATGACTTTCAACAGACACGGGTGAAAGACCATTTTCATGTTCCAAATGTGGCCGGCAGTATTCGCGAAAGTGAGCACCATCCTATCCTGTCATGTTTGGCTAGAGTCTGGACTAATGTGGCTGCTCAAGAGATGTGCTGCTGCGCCATCTCCGGCTCCACCGCCGGCAGGAAACAAATGCTTCCCCTGAGCAGCCAACGGTTCAAGGCGGCGTCAGCGCAAACGTCGGAGAATCACGTCTTGAAGAGCAACCTAATTCCGAGCCTCGGATCCTAGAAGCCGCCCTTGACTCTGGAGATTCCCAAATAGTATGCCCTGCCTTGTTGAGTGGCCCCAGTGGCTCACAAATGGATATGTTGGCAACCCCTATCCAAACCGATGGCGCCACCCAATGGTCAAGAGCTCTACATGACAACGAGGGCTCACAGCCAGAGCTCGTAGCCTCAGCACGCAGGCAAGAAATAGGGAAGCGACAGCAAAGACACCGGGAGCACTCCACATCAACCGCTGCCATGTCGTACGGAGGGGCCAATGGTATCAGCAACATAGAGCCGCAAGGAGGCGTGTCATACGGCGAGTATGGTTCAGATACGGTACAGCACCAGCTTGACATGATAGGTATTCAGCCACAACTCTGGCAAGTTTTTGAGGTACAACCATGTTAATTGGCAGCAGGGAGTCCTCACACTGCAGACGACCAGATCTCCACGGGCTTCCTCGACTTTTTGTCATCCGACTCCGTGCTGTTCAATTTCGATGTGCCCTCTGGTCATAACAGCCCAAGGACCCATCTGAGTACCCAGTCATCCGATCGTGCTGGCAATATTCCAGCAGAGCGTTTCAGCCAGGTGGCGCGGCTTTGGCCGATCAGGACAGCTGAGAACTCTGCACATATGACTCGATTCAGTTTATGGTCTGAAGTAATTGAATTCGCTGGAGATAATATCTGTACGGATCCATCTAACTCCAAAACATCTCCCTCACTTTCGATTGGGGATCAAGACGAATCCAAGTGGGGTCTGGATGAAGACAAACGACTGCTTTTAATGCAAGAGCCCATGGCAATTGGCATCGATAATCAGACTGGCATGCTCGATAACAGGCCGATGAACTCGGATTTTCCGACTACGCGGCTACTAAATATAGCATTAGATTCAGCATTTCGGCAGCCGCAGTCTGTCTTGGTATTTATACATCGAGCCACATTCTCTGCCAAGACTGCGTCAAACTCAATCATTTTTCCTCTCTGCTTGCTAGGGCTGGCGACGCTCGATTCACGGGCAGCCAAGGAGCATACACTTGCCTACTTACCGGTATTAAAATATTAACCCAAATCTAGAAGAACGTGGCTAGTGTAAAGCTAATACAATAGTCAGATGGCGACAGAGCAATGTTGCACTCAATTGGCACATTTCCAATCTCAAGCAGGAAATTCCCTGGAGCTTATCACTAGGCTGATCTCAGCCACGCTGCTCCTAGCTACTTGGTCGATGATCCCTTTGAATGTATGCGGAAGAATTTCTTCTCCCTCTCCTTCCATCAATCACATGCGTTGACTCAATTGCTAATGCGATTCCAAATGCAGGCATCACGTGAGGAAACACTGGTTCAGATGCTACACATGCAAGTCATGTTGGTAAGAATATGGACAATACTTTTTCTTTCCTTCCGTAAGGCTCGTCTGCAAGACTGACTAGAATTCTTGAAACAGCGCGCCAAGAATGCTGGTCTATTACTACCGCCACAAACTGGATGCTTATCACTATCTCAGGGGCTTCTTGAGAAAATCCAGGGACGCGCACAATCACGATCCGATGATGTTCCAAGCGACGATGGCCTATGGAAAGCCTGGGCTCGAGTCGAAAGCGTTAAACGGTGAGTAGTGTTTCATTTCTGCATCTTTCAACCTTTTAGTGCCATGTCACTGACAGCGATAATGTCGGACAGCTTGGTTTCCGTGCTGACTGTGATGGATGCATGGTGGTCACACAACATGAGCTCAAGACCACAACTCTCATCCAATTATGTAGGACTAGAAATGCCGGGCTCAACCAGCCTCTTCCGCTGTACATCCGCCAGGACATGGAGACGTCTCATTGACGAGGAGACTAAGATCTTCAACGACTGCGCACTCATTCAACATTATCCTCTGTTGATACAACTACCAGGCATGGATGATCCATCACCAATCAGTGTTGTCGGGCTCCTTTCTACTGTTTGGATCCGCATCAATGAAATCTGCCTCTCGATGCCAGTATATGCGCAGCCACAAAACCATTCCTCAGTCATGCCCCAGAGGATTGTTGCGTATGAGGAACAGGGAAAACAGCTGGGATACATTCTTTACGAGATCCACACAAAGTACACTTCGTTTCTGCAGCTTAAAAATCCGAATTGCCTTGTTTTGTGGCACTTTCTCAACCTTCATCTATTCTGTCAAGTCTCCATCTTTGAGTTGGCAGCGGGTCACAGTGGTGCCGAGAGCGCGCGCACCGCTCTGCAAGAAATCGCAGCCTGGTGTCACAAACCAGAGGCACGGCGTGCCTGTCTTCACGCTGCTGGCATCTATACTGCCATGAGTCGCCTGCGCATCAAGGATGGGACCATGTTTCACTCTGAGGCCTCGCTATTTACGGCAGCTCTGGTCCTCGGCCTATACGTATTCATGATGCAGCCGGAAACAGACTCACAACACGGTAGTGACTGCGCTACGCCTGAGACCAATAGCAGCCAGAGAGTTGAACCCTACGAATTTCTCAACGATGTCGACTGGTCAACTTTGCGCGGTGGCCGACTAGGATTGGGTGAGCCGTTACTGCCATCGTCCTCGTCACCGGCGGTTGTCGAGTTTCCCGTTCCTGTTGGTGGTGATGAACCATCGAGAGCCGCGCGGCAATTCATTAGAAACGGTGGCCCAGTGAGCTTCTCCGGTTTCATCTGTGCGGGTGGATATCAATCTGCAAAAATGGTGCTTCACGAGTTTGCGAGCTTGCTGGAGGGGATTGGCAAGTGGAAGGCAAAGCGTTATTGTTACATACTCAAAATCATGAGCGACACTTTGCTTGATATTGATGACAGGTAACCTTTCCCTAGCCTTGTGGACTCTGGAGTGGAGTAGCATACACTCAACACAAGTTTTGGCCTGAATAGCTGTCACAATGGCGAGCGATTAATTCCATACGGACATGTGATTAACATGTGGTTCATGTGCGAGGTTCGTTAAGAGATTCGTTCCATTGTCCATACCCAATGATACACTCGGCCATTAATTATCCGGTGTTTCCTACATAATTCCTGTTCTGGAACCGGATTATTTGAACCTACGTTTCTGACAAGAGCCATGCCAACAACCACCTATTCTCATTTGGCCGCGTGAATTGCTGTGCTTTGTGCACTAAGATCAACAGAATGGTAATAATCGGCGGCCGCTCTGCTCTTGGCCTTGTCCTCAGCTACACGAGCAAGCAGTTGCTTCACGACTGGATTTGTCGAGAAGCGGTCCTTGAGAAGTGAAGTTCGAGTCAGCACTAGTTGGTTACACAAGAAAGGACAGCTTGAACAATACGAGAAATCTTACCGGGAGCTTGCTCCAGACCTTGGGATCTGTGGCTTGTGATTGCATAACGCCGCAAAGCTTGCGCGCGTACTCTGTAAAGAGAAATGTTCGAGACGACTCGACCATTATAGTCATTTGATCTGCAATCATGATAAGTAGGGAACGTGAGATATGGGAAAGGGTAGAAGAGGTGGAAAGGGGAGGGGCGAGGGAGGATGTATGTATACTCCAATGGGGGCTCTCAGAATTCAGCAACTCACTTTCTAGTATTCTGCGAGGTTCATTGACTTGAAGCTTTACCTCGGTCACATACTCGTCGCTAAAGCCCCCGTGCGGCGTGTGGCCACCTTCGTAGCTGCAGCCACCCGGCAGAAAGTCATCGGATCGACCCAGTCCATTACCATAGATGCATGCCAACAATTCAGATGCACTATTTCGATGGAAGTAGGGGAGGCGGAATGAGTTGCTTGCCACATCCCATCGCGGACCGAACCACAAGTAATCGGCTAGAGGTACGTGTGGATCAACAGACTTGGCCGTCAGCACGGTGTTGACGCTTGGGTCTGTATGGTCGACTGTGGCAGAGTTCTGCGCTACAAATTTGGTCAAGTCGTACTTTGAGGTGGCGACGTGGTTAGTATGTTGGAATCATGTATTATGACACCCAAAATTGTGGGGGAATCTAGACCTACTTTGTATGGAACGCAGTTCCCATGCCAAGCTACAACATCAAATGGGCTATGGTCTTGTTCAATGGCGTAGTGCTTGCCAGTATTCTTGACAACAATGCTAAACGACCGGTGGAGGTCCTCATCAATGTGTGCCGTCGGGTACAAGAAGTCGCGCGGGTTGGCCAGCCCGTAACCCCCCAGGGGTCCGAGGTCGGGCAGCTCCCAGACGGAGCCCCAGACCTCGGCAATATGACCGCGGGCGGCCGTGACGCCGGGGCCGAGGGCGACCCTGAAGCGAACGCCGCGCTGGATGACGCATATCTCGCCCGGCTGCAGGAAGAGATTGCCCATTTCCGTCTGTACATCGATATTGCCGAGCTGGGGCGTCACCAGAAAGTCGCCGTCCGTGTTGCAGTACGCCTTGCCGTCCATGGACGCGTTGATCATGTAGACGTACAGGGCGATGCCCTGCTTCAAGTTGGGATCTCCGCTGCCACATAGCGTGTGCAGCCCATTGGTAAAGTCAATGGTTTCGTCTTCGGAGGGAAGTGGAAAAGGGGACCATTCTGTTTGCTGCGGCAACGGCTCTACAGCTGGATTGAGGGAAAGAAAACAGTTTTCAATGTGAGATTTGGTGTCGAGTTTCTCGTAACCGTCTTTGCATTGCAACGTTAGTCATTTGAAGCGGAGAAAATCTAGGACAAGAACAACTTACTATGAGCGGCTGATGGCCGAGCTCTGTACATGTATGTACTAGAGTTGACCGAGCGTGGCGCCACGAAACTAGACGATGTGATGCCTTCGGTGTAGAGGCCAAAGCCGCGATCCTGTGGATTATTCTGTGCTACTGGCAGTGTGCCGGGGATCACCTCGGACTGGTGTCTGTTGCCCCAGCCAGGTTGATAGTCGTACGGATCATTCTCCCTGGTCGGTTTTGATCTTTGAAGATCGGTGTAGTGGAATACCTTTCGAGGATCTGTTTCCGGCACACGTGGTTTTACTACAACTCCATTGGAAGGAGACATGCTGGGACTTTGGGACTGATTTTCAAGATTGCAGCTTGTGTAAGAAGTATGGGATCGATGATTTAATAATTGCTGCTCAAATTGAACAAGGTTGAGCTGATATATACTGAACAACTAGGGGGCGGATATGGAGAAATGCTATTTGCCGGTCCACATGATTTGCATGTAGAATCAGGGGTGACGAAAAGTGAAAGCTTTGCGTGCGTAATACAGACTATGACAGAACTTACTTATGACACCATTACTGCATCAAAACAACGTATGTCAAACATAATATATAGACTGTAATGTGTTCAATTGTCATCCTGTCCCACATCCCCTTGTATGGAGTAGTGGGACGCTACGGACGCTACCGCATGTTCCGGACGTTGGAGATGTGAATGTGTACGGGGTTGGCTCCCCACTTCTCCACCTAATGTAGAAGTGACATTCTCGTTACTTAATTGAACTGAACATCCCAAGTGTGGAAGAAAATCAAGTGCCTTTCATGAATGGTTCATTATAGCGGCCAATATCTCTTGTACAGAAGCCTCTTAAACATATGCGAACATGGCTAATGTAGGCTAGTGGCTGCAGGGGGCCATCTTTCTCGGATTCTGTTTGATCAACTTTTTGCTTGTTTTTGATCGTCTAGTGGACTAAAGACAGGCTTACATAATAATCAAGGACGAAATCAATACATATTAAAAGCAATGCTCATATTCCAAACTATATAGTAATTAAAACAAAAATAGAAGCGCCTCCATAATGCATTTTGATCTGATTCCGAGTCCCACTTGTTGTTAATCAGTGAACTCTCAAATGATGGTCATCTCTATAACTAGTGCCGTCTTTGATCAAACATTAGCACAAACCAGTGGCCTGAACCTAGGAGGTACACCATTTTACTTTGTTACAGAGCCCCTTTTATTGGAGCTCCTCTATGCATGACATACACCCGTCACGCTCTGCAGCTTGCTCATTCTTGATTCGACACGTTCGCCCAGCTTGGCAATATCAGCGACGTCCATGCCGCGGCGGATGGTGGCCGCCTTGGCAACAATGGCCACGTCGGCGAGCGCGAGCGGTGCCAGGATCAAATCCACAATGGCGAGGGGGGCATTGTCCTTGTCGTCGACAATGGTGTAAATGTCAAAGGCGGCGTTGCCGACGGTGCCCAGGATGGCAATGACGGCGGCAACGTCGGCGGCGCCGGCCACGGCGCTGGCCACCTCGCCCACAATGGGGATGAAGAGCAGCAGGGCGCTGATAAAGGCCAGGATGATGGCCTTGCGCTCGGCCTCCTCGATCTTGTCGGCCGTCTTGATCACCTCCTGCATGGACTCGACGCCCGAGGCAATCATGAGAATGGGCAGACTGATGGCGTCAATGAGCTCGTACGGATCGCCCAGGTAGGTGAGCACCTTAAGCTGGGTGAGGATGCTGTCAATCTGATCGGGCAGGTCGCTCGCGGCATCCAGACCAGACTGAACCGTGTCCTTGGGGTTGGTCACGTCGTCCTCGGTATAGCCCTGTGGCACGGGCACGTTGAACTCGTAGCCCTGGTTCCAGCACTCGGCGCCGTCGCCCTCCTTGTGCGACGTGCCCTCACACGAGTCGACATCAGTGTAGCGGCCCATGCCAATTTTGGCCTGGGGAATGCCGGTGGCATTAAGCAGGTCCTCGTAAAAGGCGGCAGATTTGTCCTCCGTCAGGTGCCACCAGATGCTCTGGTGGGTTCCGTAACCGCGCTCCGATAGATCCGGTGGGCAGGGCTCGCTCTTGTTCTCCCAATGGACGATGAGAGTCTTCTGCTCGATGGTGTGGAGTCCTTGGAGGATGCTGACCACGTTGTAGCAGTTCTCGTTGCCAAAGCAGTAGTTGCAGTCGTCGCAGAAGGAGCAGCATGTGCTCATCTCCATGATGTTGCAGGTGAAGTAGTCATTTCCATTGTCCATCATGAAGTCGTGGACCTGCGACGATGCACTGTCGGCCACAGCCTCTGCGTACGTGTCGAACTTGTCGTCATAGTCGCCGTTAACCATGTCGGTGAAATCGGACAGCTTGTCGTTGAACAGGTTCTTGAGCGACTCGATCGTGTACTGCGCCACACACCAGGACGGCCAGCTATTAATAGTGTCGTCGTCCAGGTCATCAAAGTCAAAGGGCCCGTCTGTGCACGGCGTCCATTCATCGACGTTTGCATATTCGTCGTATACCACGCATTCGTCGTCGTCGTCATACTCGCCACTTTCGCAAGTACCATCTGGATCGCCGTCGTCGCTGGTAAACTCCATCAAGTCCACAGCCCAGTCGACCGTACCTCTGAAGTTGTAACTGTTCCATAGTTGCGTCCGGCTGGTTTTGACGTCTTGGCTCATGTAGGCGACCCATTCCGTGTCATTATAGACCAAGTAGTCGGTATCTGTTTCTTCATCGTACCAAGAATCCACATTGGTCGAGTTGGAGTAGATGATGTTCTTGATCTCGGCGTTGGCAATGTAACCAGCAGTCACAGTACACATACCCTCGGCCGCCATGGAGCTATTATCCGAGTTGGCCAGGTAGAAACACTCTGGTCCGGTGCAACCAGCTTCAGCCATTTTGAACGATCTTCCGTAGCTGGAAACACCAACGGTAATCAGATAAGACGGAACACCAGCCTTGGTTATCATGGATAGGGCATAGTAAGTCTCGGTGAGGTTGACATGACTGCGCAGACAGTTACCGGTTTCACAACCGTCTTGACTCCACGAGTTGAGATAGTCCCATTGACCTGTCGCAATACTGTATTAGCGGACCGTGATTCTAGCCCATGGGATACCAACGGCGGTTATGCAAAGTGGTGTCTTACCGTGAAGATCATAGGTCATGTAAACCACATAGTCGCATTCCAGGGCCGACTTGTAAATCTCAAAGTTCTTCAAGTACCAGTAGGACGCGGGTGCAGCCATGGAAATTGTCTTATCAGTGTCAAGACCCAAATATCCACGAACTATACTGATGAACTGGAAATAGTAATAGCCGTCAGTGTCCTCACCAGCCGGGATGCCCGGAATGTCAGTAGCCTGTACATTTGTGAGCGATTATTTGCAAGAATGGGTGAATGGGGGACGTACACCAGGATATTCCCAATCAAAGTCTACACCGTCAATGTCTTCATCCTCAAGGAAGGTTATGATGTTCTTTGCAAAAGTCTTGCGGTTATCAGGGCTGATTGCCGTGCGCATCTTGTCATATGTGGATGCATCGGTGGAATAACCCCAGCCTCCAATCGACACAATTCGCTTTACCGGCAAGGCCTTGAAATCCTCCCACTGGTTATATGTATCGTTGATGACGACTTCAAAATCATCCGAGATGGTGGCAAATGCCCAGTGAATGTGCGTGTACTGGGTAGTGTCGATGGAAGCAGCCCGCATGTTGAGACATTCACGGTCCCAGTTCCATGTCTCGTAGTAACCAACGTAGATCTTGTCGGTAAAGTTGTGGGAGTTGTTCACAATGTCCGTTCCACAGTTGGAAATACAACCGTTCTCGTCCGAAGGAGCCGTTCCCGGGTTACCAGACGGACCGGTAGTGTTTGTACAGTACTGTGGAGTGATTCCGCACTGACCCCAGATATCGCAGCAGGCATTGAGCGGGCAGGGGTTGAGATCGGCCAGGGCCGTTCCGTCGGTAGGCATCTCAGTTCCGGGCACAGTAGGGCCACACTCGGCGTTGGCAACGGCATTGGGCAGCGGAGGGTCTCCTTCGCTGAGACAAATCTTGGCATCGGCAAGCAAGTCACCGCATCCGTTCCATCCCCAAGTAGTGCCGTTGTTGAACTCCTCGATCTCGGTGATGGTCAGGCCCACTGCCGCGCCAATGTCAGAGCAAGTGTCTCCAGTGTTTACCACATACTAAGAAGCAAAGTATCAGTAAAACCAGTCCATACAGTATTGAAAAGGTTTGCAATCGTTACATACGGTGTAGCAGGTACCATTGTCGTACATTTGGGGCGTATAGTCGGGCAGGTCGCCCTCAGAGCAGCAGACATGTTGGCCCGGCGACAATGGGTCATCGCAGAGACCATCGTTGTAGGATTCAAAGTCGTCCAAAGAAACTCCGCACTCTGCGGTCAACGAAGTGCAGGTGTCGCCAGAATAGATCTGAGTCGTGTCACATTCATCGCGCTTCCATTGATAGCGCAGGGGGTTTCGCGCCGTGATCACATGGTCGCGCTTTTCCGAGCTCGAAACGCCCACACAGTAAGCCTCATCGGCCCAGAAGCTGTAATTTGATTAGCAGAAGTCCACTATTGCAAATTCACTCCTATTGACTCACTTTTCGCAATCTCCAATGGCAGGATTCCACTCGTCTAAATAGAGGCGGCCCAGGTCAGCAATCATTTCGATGAAAACAGCATGGTGTTACCAGTAGGGGCGAGACTTACACAACTCATCGGTCGTTATACCATTATCGTTGGCAAAATCCCAACAGCCCTGGCCGGACGTCGGGATGGCATATGCATTACATGTGCTGACGATGCCAGTTTGTGTTGGACCCGGTGGCGTGACAGCTGCAGCGGTGCTGGTGCCTGTAGACTCGGATGTCGACGCAGTAGATAGGAGCGTTCCTGACGATGTTTCTGCGTCGGAACTCAGTCCAGTGGAAGTCGAGGTTCCGAGATCGGCTGTGCCCGATGATCCCGTTGCAGAAGACGTCAGAGACGCAGTGATGGTTCCACTAGTCGTGGCAGTAGAGTTGGGATGGATGACTGTAATGTTGGACAGAGTCACGGCAGGGTGCGTGTACTCGTAGATGGTCGTGTTGGCGATTTGGCTGGTCTCTGCCGACGTCAAGGACGAGGCATTGAGGCAGAGGCCATTGCTCCAGGACTGCACCGAGGACTGCACCCAGCTCAGGTCGGCAGCGTTGTTGATGGCAACGCCGAATGTGTGCTTTGAGCTTCCCTCGGATACACATCGCTGCGCAAACATGATCTCGGGGGTTACCGTGTCCGTGTTGTTGACCATGTCAATGAGCTCGGCCAGAACGGCAGTGGTCGACCCTCCGTTGTCAATGGCGGCACCCACAAACACTCCAACGATTGAGCCCGTAGAGTACGAAAAGACCTGAGAGAGATCACAGCTGGCGCTCAAGTAGCTGGACACCTGTGCAAGAGCATTCGCCGTGGCGTATGTAAAATAAGAACCATTGCCAGACGAAGCTACATCCAAGGAGACATCGATGCTACTGGCGCCTGCGACACATAGATCCGAGTCGGCATCAGTGTCGCGGTCAACCAGGCGGCGAGAGACGCTGGGGACCTCATCAGGGAGAGTGCAGGCTCGGATCTTGACAGTCGTGGAAGGATCGTCAAGGGGATTGTGTAGAGCAAAGTCGAGCAGCATGTGCTTGTCGCAAGCTTCGACGCGCTTGACATTGGTGTAGACTGACCATGCACCTCCTGCGGCTGTATCACAGGTGACAGGGCATGGATCCCGGGTAGAGTAGCTCTTGGGGACATCACCCGCCAAGGCAGAACCCGCGAGCAAGGTGAGGAATAAGTTGCGAAGTACAGGTTTCATGCCGGTGCAAAGACCGGCGCCCGTGGGAGACATGGTGAAATGAAAGGCACAAGGTGTGTCTGCTGACCTTGGTAGCCAAGAATGGGCAGTGAGTGAATGACTGAGTTGGACGGAATGACAAGAAATGTAGAGTCTTCACAGGTATTATATTCAGTTTCGTACATTCCATCGTTCCGCGTTATGTTGTGGTCCTCTACCTACATGACAATTTCCCATGCTAGGTCCCTCTCAGTCATCCGATCATAGGAGCCGGCCGGCCAGGCCACATGGATGTTGGAGATGGTTCTGGGCTCCTGTATGGCTTCGGTCCGAAAGTGACAAGGGATAGACAACACTATAGAATTGGCCCCCAAATTCAGGGCATCGGATATGTGCTAAACTATTTGTAAAAGTGGTGCGACAGGATCATAATTCCTACTTTAGACGGGCCCACTCAGTCGGTATCAGATCATACACAAACTCTGGCATGAGAAATCGACTCCCAGCCTGGCAAACCGAGGTCTATGTTTTGCGAGAGCTGTGGATTAAATTTTACACTGCATACAGACTATTGATTTTTCCAGGTTTGATCTGGGCAACTTTAGTCTGGCCATGTACTGGTATAATCCACCACAACTGTTTGTAAGGATCTGGCCCTAGGCCTCCGTTATGTCTAGATGAATCCTTGACCCTTGTGTTTATTATTACGACCCGCATCGGAGCCGGAGAGAACTTTGAGTTTTCACTCATTACTATAACCTGGTCTCTCTCTGGTCATTCTTAAATTCAAAATTTCTCTATCTACGCTTTCACATCTTACTTCAGATATTTTCTGCTGTTTGTTTGCAAATATTCCCTGTTGCACCTGATCGACACCTGCGGTCGTTTCCCCTTGGTTACCATGAGGGCATTCGGTTTCTTCAGTTATGGCTTCGGCCTCACGCTTGTCAACCTGCTTGGATACCAGATCTCCAGCGCTGCGGCAGATTCAACCAAGATTCACACAATCGAAACGTATTTGAAATCTTTCTTGCTTCTTTACCTTGACGGGGCTCTCGTGTGCTAATACAACTCATCTCAGCGTCGATCTGTACCTTGCCTACTTGAGTGATGAAGAGCTCGTGTCCAATGGCGCTGCGGATACCTATACTATCGCTCCTGACTGCGTAGGCGTAGCCGGCAGATGCTCGTTCAAAGAGCTCATGATGTATATGGCTCAAGGCTCGGCAACCAGAGAATGGGTGTCTGCGCCCAAGGATCTCACTGCCGCGCAGGTCCTGTCTACATCGCTGGATGAGCTTTCCAATGACGTGGGAGCTGGCATGCTGAAATTCACGAAGACATACAGGGGAAAGACCACGACATCGATAAGGACAGCCTTCAAGATGGTGGATTGCGGAAAGGTTTTACCGGGAAGCACTAAATACAACGAAGTGCTGGAGGGACTAGGGAAAGTTGTACAAAAGCTCAACAACTTTGGTGTGCTCACCCCGAGCCAGCAGCAGGTGGTGGACAAGTTCAAGTCTGCTTCAAACGCGAGTTGGCAACTTCGCATTGCAGACAACGACTCTTACCGCAATAAAGCCATGGCCGAGGAATGGGGACTGACGGAGGAACAAGTATCCAAAGAATTCACCATTGACGGTCTGGATGGAACTTACAGGAAGTACGACGCGGAGAAAGCAGCTGCAGCCGCGACGAATGAGGAGAGAACGGTCACAGTCACGCAAGCCGTACAAGCGTCTGATGACTGGGCGGACACAGATTTGCAGGCAAGCAAACACATGGGCATGATCAAGTCCTCTTCGGAGATGTTGTCTAGCGTGACATGCGTACTTCGGTAGTGATGGAGGACTTCATACTACATTTCAGAGAAGCAGAGTGGGAATGTCGGGCGGGTGCTTATGTACCTACCTACGTAGGCACAAGGGTTTGGACCAGGGGATGTTAGATGCTGAGGTAGATTACCATGATCGTTCATGTATGCTAGTGGTACTTTTCTTAGACATCAGTAATTGGGAGACGCATTTTGGGACTAGTCAATACATGTCTAGAGTTCGAGTAGACTGCCATACCATGTTTCCGTCATCAGTCTCTTGCAACACAGCAGATAGAACAGTGGTGTTGCCCCGTGTGGTTTTCTGAACTCGCAAGTCTTGTGGTTGGTTGCTCCTTTCGGGAATCGTCGTCCATATCACGCAAGTCCCATCCATTCCCGGTGCCAATCACCTCGGCGGCAAGGCTTATATTTCTCAAAGACCCCACAAGCACCTGAAGATTGGCAGGGTTTGCAGTCGTCGGGAGGGAGGAAGAACCTAAGGGAGGAAGAAAAAAAAAAGGTGACCCCTGGCGCCCTGCAAGGACCCGGCTCGGCGTGCGGCACAGCACTTAGTTAAGGTAGTAGTAGTGGGAAAGGTCCACTTGCAAATACCCACATTTCACGCTTTTTTAGGCGCATGTAGGATCGGGTTGGTACATGTATAATCAAACAGGTACACATTTGCCTGCCAGGTGACTAGACTTCCCACAAACAAGGGTCCATCTAAGAAAAGAGAACCACAAAGGGCACAAATAAATCCCTAGTGGGTATGTCATACCTGGATCTCCTCGCTGGACAATCCAGTCCTGAATAGTCGCGGAAATCAAAGCTTTTTGGGAAGTGGATCGATGGGCTGCGGTAGACAGACGAGACGGGCACAGACTGTGATGAATCCATGCTGCTGCGAGCGGCTGTCAAATTGAGGCATCCAGTGCGGGTCATGCTAGCCGCTCAACCCAGAGAGCACATGCATCCTGTCCTCGGCCGTTCGCAAATTCCGTCTCTACTACCTACATGTTCCTGCCTTCAGGTACGCACACGAGCAGACACGGAAACTCTCACTTCACGCCAGGAAAAATCCATTACTCAGCAATACGAATCACCACTCGACATCATGGCCGACAACGACAGGCACGTCGCGGCTGGCGCAGTCGCTCAGATGGAAGATTCGAACCAAGAACTTCACTGGCTAGACGACGATGCAGAGGATGACACGTATGAAAACTTGGATGCCAATCTGCCAAATCGGCGCGGTCGGCTCCCGTTGCATTCCCTTTGCGCTACCGCTTGGTATGATCTCCAAGATGGACGCCACTATGGTCTAGAGTTTCTTGCAAATTACTTGATTGCAAAGACAAACGACATTGATGCGGCGGATGCCAATGGCATCCGTCCCTTGCATCTAGCCTCCATGATGTCGGAATGGATGGTGAAGCGGTTGCTTACCGCCGGCGCGGATCCCACATCTGTGACATCTGAAGGGTTGACCGCGCTGCACTTGGCCGCCCGCGCGCGCGAGGCCAACATTGTGGGATTGTTGATTGACGAGCTCGGCAAAGTCCCAGGCCGCTTGCAGCAGTCGCTGGACGCGCCCGATCAGACAGGACGCTCCCCGCTATTTCACGCGTGCCGCTCGGGCCGCCCTGAGTCTGTTCAACTACTTCTCGATGCCGGTTCGAATGTTGATCTCCTTGACCAGGACGGCCTCTCGCCTTTCCATGCCTGTGCTGAGTATGAGCAGGAGCAGGCACTGTGGGAAAAGTCTCTGAAGCCCGATTTGTTTGTAATGGACCTGCTCATTTCCCAAGTGAACAGGCAGGGATGGAACAGGGTAGCTGAAGGAGGTGTCATGTTACATGATACTTCACGGCCTTGGACGCCTATCTACCGCATCTTGATGCCGGGGCTTCGTGACTACATGGCCGTTGCGTTCGAGGACCGCGACGCAGCTCAAGGCTGGCCGAAAGACTATGAGTCTTGGCGAATTAGAAATATGGAATCTGAGCAAGACAGTACCCGCTTGGAAGAGATTCTTGAAATGCTGTTTCGGGAGCACTCGAAACGAGGTACAGATGTTGCAACCTTGGACAGTCATATCATTGCTTGCATTGACCGATGCAAGGCCTATGGCAGCTATAACAGCATGCGCTGCTTCCAGTCCAAGAAATTAGACTGGAACCTTGGGCTGGTAGAGAAGGGTGATCACGACGCTTTGCTTGAGCACGATTCTCAAGTATTATCATATTGCGCAAGCAACCGCAGCCTTCGTTCCCACCACAGTTCGGTCCGGTACCTCTTGCGGCAGCGAGAATATCGTGCCATTGAGCAGTTGTTGCGCACTTCCTCTATTACACCCCATGACGCGAGGCAGATTCTTCTGCTTTTCGTCCGATATGGCTTTGGGAGGCTCTGTAGGTCCACACAAACCACAATGGGGAAGCACACCAGCTAATAATCTTCAAGTGAAAATCATGCTCACTGAGCTGGACCTTTTCCAAGGCAAGTCTTTGGAGTCCATATACGATCGGGATATGTGGGATCCGCCTCTAGTAGTAGCCTGTCAGAGAGAGCTGCCCAACATGGATGTTGTCGGCGTATTGGTAGAACAGAATCACGCCGAAATCAACGCCCAGAGCAGGACTGCTCAATGCGAGTGGCAGGCAGACATTTCAAGAATGTATTCGGAAGAGTTAATTCGCAAGGTTGCAGGGAAAAACACGGCCTTGCACGAAGCGGCCAAAGGACGTCACTGGTGGCATATCAAGCAGGCACTTCCATTTCTTCTGACTGCCGGCGCAGACAGGCAGCAGGTCAACGAAGAGGGCAAGACTCCGCTTGACTTTTCACTGGAATGGCAAAGGAGATATGGGGACGAGCCTGAGACATTTGCTTCCGAGGCAAGAGCTCTGCTGCAACAGGACTAAAGAACTTGTGTATTGTTTATGTATATCCCGGTCCTAGAAGAGAGACAAAATGAAGCCCGCCAAGCTCTCTCATTGCAGGTCAATGGATAGTGCATATGCATAATATAAAGTCGGAAAAGGATATGGGAATAAGTAAAGCCTGCATATTCGCCGAATTAAGAATCTTTGAACTCTACATTGCATCCTTCCGAGGCCATCTATGGACAGGTAGTCATGAGTTTCTTGTGACATCTGAAGCTTTTTTGTTACACTCCCTCCACATTGCTTGGCCATTCTGACTGCTCAAGTGCTATTCATGGGCAGTCTCTGTTCAGTATCAGGGCAGGCCAATGGTATGAGCAAGGTATGTGCCCACCTATACAGATGTTCGCTTGGCTGATTCGGCCCGGCGGCGTATGTTTAGTGGATCAGTTGAACCCTTTGCTCTACGTAGTGTAGTCTCGTGGACCGTAGCTCTACTTGGAAAGTCCGACCATAACGCGCCCGGAAGTTCGAGTCTTGTGATTCGGCCCAAAGCCGATAGTAGCGACGCGAGGGTCTGAGCTTGGTTCCCTCCTCAGTAGACGACGACCGGCGGCGGGCGGGAACGGGCGGATTGTGGGCGTCGCCATCCCGAGGTTCGTCCATTCAGGGCATGCATACATTTAAGCTAACTGCCAACAACTTTGACTAGCGGCGGGACCAAACCACGAGATTAGATTCCGAATAAGGGTACATTAGGCACGCCAACTTTGTTTAGTCAGGTACCATGTCAATGTCGTGCGTTGCAATTGGTATATTTCTGCAATGGCGGAGGTTTGGGCGGGTCCTGCCGCTCCCTGCCCTGTCGGGTAATTAATATACCTATTAGGCTATCAGATCAGAATCAGATCATGGCAGCAAGGGTTCTGGTAGTGAGAATAGGCAAAGCTGATGGGAAATCTCTTTTTTTCCCCATCCTTGACTACATTAGCTCATCAACCTGAACACCTAGAACCAACGCTTCACGTGAAAATTTGCACCTCGAGTGACCAACAAGTGGCGAGGCTCGCCGCGATGACCTCTCAAGAGTCCAGCTTAGCATCTTTTTCAGGACACGCTAGCTGCCGAAGGGTAAATCCTCCGCTACTAGCAATGGCCTAGGATTAGTATAGTCGTTACTGTGCCTCAGGTCTCTCTGTCTCTCTCTACTAGAAATTCCGTCCTGAATATAGAATCATATCATGCAGGACGCGCAAGCAAGTCATCCACTTTTGTGCTGGGGGGTTTAAGCTGCGCATCATGTCTTGCCGGGCTGACGTGCGTCTGGTGCGCAGTGCCGCCCGCCCGCCCTCGCTTAAATAAAGACCCTGCCAAGTGCCTTGATGCCCGCTTTCACTGCACTGGCCAGGCCAAGGCACGGGTAGGGCCATGGGATTGGCAGCCACTGTCTTGGCCCCCATATCGATGGATCTCGTCCGCCCACCCGGCCGAGATCTAGCAAACATGCAATGTTACCTTGGCACGTTGTAACCTTTCGCATAACATTCTGCAGTATCTACCATGAGCCGCGATTTTCAGAACGATCTCTCTAGCCCCATATACTACATGGCATGAGACTAAGAAAGAAAAGAAAAAGGATCCACAGCTGGTATGCGCTTTTTTTTTTTTTCTGTTCACGGGACATGTAGTCGTTTGCAGGCCAATTGACCGGGAAAAAGAACCCCTGTTTTAATATCGATGTCTACTCCGGAGCGCTTCTTTGCAACTGTATGATGGCAATTACACGGAATTAATAGGATTCGCCGCTCCACAAGGAATGAATAGAACCGGGTTTGCGTGCCTATATTAGACAATTGGTCTCGCTAGGTGAGATAGAGGGGCTAACCTTTTTGACATGGGCTCCATCTTTTGGACCTGAGAATGCTCAATCTTGTCTGGGCCCTTGTTCGAAGAGAGGGACCTGAGTCAAGAGATATTGAAATTTTTGTGCAACAAATCAATAAGCAAGAGTGTTACTTCCTAGCTTCCTGCACTGGGACCAGTATCTCGAATTCCGCACATGAGGGTGTCCCATGGCTAGTTGGTCGTTGTGACCTGTGTTGCTGTAGTAAATGTTGCCGCCTTTGAATGTGATGAGCCAGCTAATAAATGAGTCACTTTCGTTAAGTGCCACGCTCGGTTTAATGTCATTAGCACAGGCTGGAGAAGGATGAAGAAATGCACCAACTTTGATCTATGAGCCATTGGACTCTACGGTAGCGGTGTAAATCTCGCGCGTAGCTACCTCGTAGGACCTGATTTTAGGGTCAAGCAATTCCTAAAGTCGTGGGCAACAGCCATCCAGATCGTAAAAGGTGTCACAACTTATAAGCTGATCATCAGGACCACTATCGCAACGTTGGACTCGGCAACCCCAACTTTCTTGGCGCCGAGCCAAATACGCGGCATGAACAAGCTGTCGTTGGGTCTATGGAGATTGATCTTGCATCGCGTCTCCCACTCCGCGACATTGTGACGATTATGGAGCGACTCGGGAAGTTGATGGCATACGGACTGGGGCTCGCGTTTAGGTATAAAAATCCGGAGACAAAACATGCCATTTTCGCCAACTGACACGAATGCTGTATACTGCAAGCTGGCTCATCCGGCGCCGTTTTTGGCAGCCTCCCAGCCAGCGTACCGCCTCGCCCCCCGCCGTTGTGCTGTTTTTCTCTTGGATCTCCGTTGCGCCACGTGCAGCCGTTTCAGTACGGCCAGATACCGCTGCGAATCTGCCTCTTGCACTTAATCGTCTCGTGAACACCTTCAAAATTAAAGTAGAGCGCATGTCCAGTCATATATGTATCTTTGACAATTCAACCTCTGTTGGATGTGAACAACTCAACTAATATAACAACTATTGCATACCACCTACTATACCCTTTTACACTAGCCACCATCGGAAGCTCACCACCTTAAAATTCAAACTACTTGCCTCCTCATCGTTGCGGTCCGCCTGCCCCAAGTCTCACTGGATCTTGACATGGATACCCTCCCTCTCCCGGTTTGAACTTTTGGACGTGGAAGGAATATGCTGATATGATTCATTGAATTGACGGCGAAGGACACTTTTGCCGCAAGGGACTTGAACTGTGCTTCACAAGTCATCATCCACGTCATCGTCTGGAAGGGGCATAGGCAACGCCCCGTCAAATGGTCCGCAATTGGACATGCCAGAGATTTCAAGGAAAGAGTGATCCATGGTTCTTCCACGCTCCCAGAGCCGGTCGATGGCTGAAGTCAATGACGAATATTCAAAGATCGGAGGTTGATAAGTGAACGCAACCCCAAGCTCGGCGTACTTTTCCGCCAGGGCAAGATCATCAAAGTACGTCTCTGCGACAATTTTAGGGACGCTTCCAGGTTGGAACTTTATGCGCCTCAGGTCTTGGAACCGGCCCTCCCGGATGCTTTTTAACAAAGCAAGAAACATGCCTGCAAATGAGGGAAGCGCGTTCCCGGCGCACCCCACCAATTCCAGAGAGACGAGATTCGGAGGCAGCATTTCAATCAGGCGCGCCGGACCGGCACTTGGATCGGTGCGCGTGCTGCACACAAACATGGAGTCTATCGAGAGTGACTGTAGTGCGGTAAAGCCAGCAAGACTCGATGCGGGTTGAAAAGAAAACGGAGAGAAGATCCTAGCGCGCAGATCTATGTGTAACGTCTCCAAGCTATCCTTGAAAATTGCAAGAGATTGAACCGCTTGTGAATGATCGAACTGGGGATTCACTAGGTCAACTGTGGATAGTTAGCCTCCTTATCTTGAATAAAAAGGAATAGAAAAATTTCATACACTTAGACTTGAGAATCGATTCAAACTCTGATAGATTTGCTCTACATGAGAATGCTCTTAAACCCATACACCTGGATAGAATGGCGTCCAGCGTTGTTTTTGATGTCCAGCTGTCCATGATGCGCAATGTCTCGATGTTCAACTTCGGCGACAAAGGCAGCTCGATGCCAAGATATCGGTCCGTGGGAACAAAAAGAAATCCATCCATAATCCTCATGTTAAATATGGGAATTTGGACTGCCTCGGCTGCTTCCCCATTGTCAACACACTCCAATAAGTTGAAAAAGTAATCCGAGACGTCCTCTGACAGGCAGCCTTTCAACCTCTTCACGTGTATGGACGAGACTGGGAGAGAATGATCGCGAAAGTGCAACGAATACTGCTCAAGGTTTGGAAGCTTGTTGGCAATGGCAGCGATGGTTTTCCACGAATGCGTGAACGTTTGAACCTGGGGCAGCTGCACGTAATAGGTGTTGCAAGTTACACTTTCCACCAAAGCTGCGAGGTCGCGACGCTTCGTGATGGTTCGCAGAAAGCTTCTGAGCTGCGCGTTCCATCTGTCTAGGATGATATCTGCAGATTCATCGCGTTCACTTTTCCCGTTGTGGGGGAGAAAGTGGCGATACAAAAGGACCTGGGCGACGTCCTGCAAGCTTTTTGACACCAAGCAAAGTGAGAGAAGGGTGGATTGGTTCAGCGAGTTTGAGGATATTGCAGAAGCGTGAGGAGATGCTCTGTTATTAAGATCGTGATGTCCGCAAAAGTGACTAAAAATCTCTTTCAGTATCTCTCTTGGGAGAGATTGGATTGTTGGCGACATCGCGTTGTCCATGTCATGTTGAGAAAGACTTGGTGGAATTTGGTTCTTAATATTCCCCCTGACGTTTGTGTCTGCCTGAAGCTTGTTTAATTGATCTAGGCTGCTTAAGGCAACACCGATTCTCTTAGCTTAAAATCGCCGTACCACTTCGCGATTTAACATTTGATCTCCGTTCGTGTTTTAGTAAATGTCTATATAAACTTGACGGACACACGCAAGAATCGTATAAGATGGACAATCTTGTGGATCAAGAAGCACTACCCTCGACTAGTAAAACCTTCAATACACAGACACATACTCATGCTGTGGTAGAGATACTACAGTCATCGTTATCCATCACATCCAACCCTTCAAACTTCCTTTTTCTAAGTTCTCAGACTTCTTTCGCATACTTCATGTCTTTGGGAGTAGCAAGTTTCTTCGAGGGAAGAACACTCACTAGTTTGTACAAACCTTCACGCCTGCGTGTCTCGGGGCGCTCTCAATGCCCGCAAGACGTGCCATCCCTTCGAAAACATTGACTTTCTTCTCTGTTCATCTCCAATATCTTGATTTGTCGAGGTGTCAAAAGGTATCTGAATGGCCTGCGACTCTAAGCTTTCAAATCGCTCCCAAATCTGGGAGGGAAATGCTCCATCCCAATCCGCGTAATTACTTCGCTGCTTATACGCATACTTTCCCCGAAGCTGGGTTTTGCTGTGGACTTGCGGCTGTCGGACCTCTTCATGTTGCAGCTCAATGCTAAGCTCTCTGGAGATATCAGCATGAGGGATGTCAAGTCCTGGAGTACAGCCGACTTCGAGGTGCACGACATCATGGCATGGAGCAGCATCTGATCGAGTACATTGTCAAGCAACTCGAGACGCAGATCGACGCAGCCCAGGAGGCTGTCAAGCAAGGCTTTGATAGCATCAAAGAGGATATGGAGGAGAAGGAAGCAGAGTTCAGAGCTAGTTGCCAGATCGCCGTCGATGCCCTCGAAGACAAGCGTAGGGTGTGGCACGAGAAGCAGCGAAGCGTTTGACTCGGCCAAGCAAGATGCCGAGCGCATTCACCACGAACTCCAAGACAGCGTGTATCAAGCAGAACAGGCGTGGAGGAGTCTGGTAGCCAGCATGATGGCAGATCTGGGGCGCGTACGGTCCGACACGAACGCAGCGATCCTGGCGGCTGAACGCGAAGTGTCCGACGCCCAGCGCAGCAGTGACGAGGCTATCCATGATGCGCAGACGGAGCTGCAGCAGGCGCGCCGCGACTTCGAGAACGCCTTTGGTAGTGCAGAGGGTGACTTGGAGCACTCCAGACAGAAGGTTGAGTCTGCGCAGCACATAGTTGACGAGCTCGATCGTGACATTGACAACGCAAACCGGGCCACTGATCGCGAGCCGTGGTATAATTGCCCTCCCCTTATCGCCGAGAAGGCCGTTTTACTCGGCACCCAAGCCAGCGCCACTGCTACACTGCAGGTTGTTCGTGGCATCTATTACGCTGAAGAGGCTATTGTTCAAGGCAGCGGATTCGTTGCAGCCGACGATTGCATAGCCGCCGCCGAGGTAGCCCTGGATCAAGCCCGCGACGTCAAGATGATGGCGTTGAACGTCGCCAAGGAGGCGCTGCTTTGCGCGAAAGAACACGGTAGAGCTGAATCTCGCGCGGCACGCTGTGGAGGCAGCCGAAGGAGCGATCAATCTGGGCTTGGATCTGGACAAGTGGGCTGCTCAGCATACAGGCAAGCTGTTCGACATTCGAAAGGTCGAGTCCCGAGGATCAGTCTCGAGTCTGATTCGTCACGAAGAGGGCAATTCGGGGCCAGCATTGATGGTGCACATCGAAGGTGTGGTACTCGATGAGGATATATATATATATATATACATCGTGAGTGGGAGCCGCACTTCAATCTAGTGGAGTTGATCAAGAGATTATTCGAGCAGATCTGGGCCAAGATCAAGGAATCAGCTCTGGGTGGGCTCAAACTGCTTCAGGAGCAATGATTACCACGCTCGATCTTCTTATACATCATTCATATCACAGGCAGGGCAATCGCTCCTTGATCGTGTTCGTACTGTAAGTGTGCACGGGCCATGACGGAAAGTTTTGAAATACAACAGCCATTTTGATCAGGCAAGCAGGTGGCAGGTGGATATAGAAACATGCAGCTAGCCCACAAAAGTTGCCACAACAAATCAGTCACATGGGCCAACAAAGTAATTCTCGCTACCTTGGCATCTAAACCACGACGCCTGCGTTTCAGCTGCTACGCCGAGTATCTCAGAAACGAATTCAGTAGCGGACAGCCTGCCCTTTTCCTACACAGTAAATCCCGCCGAAAAGCCCAGTCCATTCGCACCTGTTATCAAACAACATCTCTGGTAGATAGGTACCTTTCCTTCACCCTCGGTCGAGCTCGCGCGAATGGTTGGGGTGACATTCCCCATTTCCGATCAATTTCATCATGGATGCCCGACTTGATGGCCATTTCGACTTGGACAAACCAAGCCAAAGTGGCGATCCTTTTCAGATTATATGGCCTGAAAAGCTGCCACAATGCCACGGCGTGTGCGAACGCACCGAGGATTCATTTGGGGGCGGCCGCCGCATTATACTGTCTGATGAAGTTCAACAGGATGCTGAGCGTGGGTGTCCCAAATGTATGATCATATTCCACAGTTGTCGAGATCTTGAAACGACAGGTGCGAAACTTGAGGTCGACTGCCATGCCGATAAGCCTGGTATGGTTCGGCTTTCTCTGACTTGGCCAGAGAAGCCCACTTCCTACCACACGGTGCAGGTCTACGTTGAGCTTGGCACGCCAGAACCATCTTGGAAATACATCAAACCGAGGCGCATCCTTACGACGAAACGACGTGTCGAGTATAAGCCACTACTCCATTCCTGGATAGAGAAATGCAATGAATCACATACAGACTGCATAAAAACCAACCCGGAACTGCCGCATATCGTCCTCGACGTGGGTAGCCAAGACAAACCTCGTCTTTTCCTCCACGTCTCTTTCAAGCAAGTTGGACAATACACCGCTCTCAGTTATTGTTGGGGAAGGTCGAACCCGCCAAAGACGACGACATTGAATATTGAACAACACAAGCGGTATATCAATTTTGACGAGCTTCCAAAATGTTTCCAGGATGCCATTACCGTTACTCGCGATCTCGGCATCCGATATCTTTGGATCGATTCTTTGTGCATCCAGCAAGATGATACTCAGGAATGGCAAAAAGAGTCATCCAAAATGGCGGACTATTACAACCATGCTTATTTGGTGATTGCCGCGTCCCAGGCCGGAGATCCGAGCCAAGGTTTTCTCGATTCTCTACAAGACAGTTCTAATACTACAAAGTATTCAGGGATCCATATTGGAGATATCATCAACCCAGATTCCAGCATCTCTCGTATTTATCGAGAAAAGCTTAGCCTAGACTACTGGTGGGAACGACATGCAGACCCCCTTGATCATTCGCCGCTGAACAGACGGGCTTGGGTGTTCCAAGAATACTTACTTGCTAAGCGAATCGTCCATTTCACCGCAAACGAACTTCTCTGGGAATGCGTTGAAGACCTCGAATGTGAGTGCTTAGAGACGAAGAATTCTGCTTGGGACGGGATTGGCACCGTAGGTATAATGCGGAAGAACCGGTTCCTAAGTATTGGTCAGCTTTACAAAGATTCTACTCGACTACAGCATTGGTTGGGCGTTTTGAGCCAGTACTCCACTTTGTCCATAACAAAAGGTTCCGACGTCTTGCCAGCACTGTCTGGGCTAGCTAAATTTTGGCGATCACCCGAGACCGGCGAGTACCTAGCTGGATTTTGGGAGAAGAACATTATCGAGAGCATCGGATGGATCCGGTCGGACGATCAAGATGGTCCGAAAAGAGCTTTGCAACGTTCTAAGGAGAAGCACCGACCGCCTTCCTGGTCTCCATTCTCGATACAAGAAGCAGACCGGTACCACAACCCTAGACTGCTTATTCCCGTCTGGATTTCATCGGCTGTGCGCAAGAAATACGTTGTGGTATACGAAGCAGTGGTGACCACAGCGGGAGAAGACGAAACCGGAGAAGTTGAAAGTGGGTACCTTAAGCTTAAAGGTCCCGTGACACGAGTCGATATCGGGCCCCAGGAGGAGCACGTAATGGAGAGTAAGATTGAGCTTGGAGGAATGAGTGTCAAAGTGCAATGGGACATCGAAATGGACCTTTCCCGAGGATTGCATATTGCACTTCTTCTTATATATGATGAGCCGGCTCGTCTCCGAGCACTTGTTCTGAAAGCTTGTGGGTGTGTTTACGAACGAGTTGGCATCTTGTTTGTAAACTGGGGTATTGGTTATAATGGAAAGGACTTTAAGTCGATCTCTAAACTTTTACAGGCAGGCACCAAAGAAGTAATCACAATCATCTGATGGCATAAAGAATGCCATCTCGTTCATGGTAAACAAAAATATATATAACGGATAAAGGCTCGCATTCAGTTGATTTTTGCGAAGTTAATATATTTAAATTAAAAGTTATCTGTTAGCATTTTATAATTATTACTAAAAGATCTGCCGATCAAAAAGTGATAAAGATGACGGTAAAAAGGTAAACGTCATTTTCCGGGTTGCGCCGGGAAAGATAACTCAACCTTGGATACCGCTCTACGCGTCTTTTATAATGAACACTGAACCCCGACGATCACTTAGATTTTCCGTCTATTGTGTCTTATTAACTATCAATCTAGCCATGTCCCAGTGTCCCAAATTGCTTCCTGCCGGTCATCTCCCGTGTATATAACAACATTGCCGTCGTCTTGAACCACCAATATCGAATTCTCATTTCCCTCTCCAGTATTATCGCTTTTCCATTGCTCATAGCCTCTATCGGAGATGACCAGAATACCGTCAGTTCCTAGTTGCAGGAGAGGAAGTTTGACGAGTTCGCGGACAGTGTTGGAAGCCCACATGACCCGGTGGTTTTCATGTCTATCATAAAGCACCAAATTGCAGTCTTCCTGCATGACGAGACAGAAGCGCTTGTTTTCGGAATAGAGAGCATGTGCCTGCTCGAGGGACTCGCCTGCTCGCAGAGGTTTTGTCTCCTCTACGATGCTCCTCTGTTTGGTGTCCGTTTGCCAAATTTGCTGGCCGTCCGAAAGGATGACGGCGTTTCCGTCGTCTTGTAGGACCAGAACGGAGCTCCCGTTGCCGCGGCCGCCAGTCTCGGTGGACCAAATGGGCCATCTGTTCCATACAAACATCTGAACCAGATTACCGTCATCCTGCATGACAATCGTACGATTGCCGCCCGCTCCACAAGTGTCAGAAGCCCACAGAGGTAACCTGCCTTGATGCATATCATACAGGACAAAATTGCCATCGTCCTGGTTTTCGAATGTGAATCGTCCATTTGGCGAAATGAGCATTTCATTTGAGTCGAGTTGGTCATGGACTTTCAACTGGCTCCTCTGTTCAGGCTTTTTATCACTCGATGTATACCTGGCCTCTTCTCTTTCGTATTCTGTACACATAAATTAGGTCTTTTCCTACGTGGGCTCTGAAATGACACGAAATCATGATTACCTTCAATTTCTTTACGCAGTCGCCGGAGTGCATGTCTACGTCCCTCGCCATATATAGGCGGCATGTAAACATCAAATATTCCCAACAGCGCATACGCGTGGTCTTCGTCACGCGTGGCCTGCCGACGACTCGCCCATGACATGCGCTCTTCGACAGTAAACGACATGAGATCACCCCCTCGGAGCGCGGCAGCTGCAATGTCCGTCACCTCCTGAATCTCATCATCAAGTGATTGCTTGTCGCCCAGACGATGCCCGTCGGAAGTGAAAAACTCGACTGATTTTGGTGCGAGAAGCTCTTGGAGCGTCCACGATCGGGTGAACCACCGGCTCTGTCGAAATGCTGGCTCCCAGGCTGATTGAGCCAGCTCTTCTCTGGGTTCCTCGCTTTCCACACTGTCGTCTGCCGAATTGTCGCCAATGGTAACATCCGACATGTATACATAACATTTGGCAGCATCTCGATACCACCGAAACATGGAGTTTAGAGCCTCGGACAGTTCGGTGCTATTTGACTTGTCGATGCAGCATGTGTCGATCCAGAAATGCGATAATCCATCCGCAGCAGCTTGGCGTGCACAGAATTCGATTTTACGATAGCCCTTTTTCTTTTGAGCTGAACCATCCCACAAGTCCTTGAATGTGACTTCCTCTTCGTTGGTTCCCCATGTATGCGAGAGTATGGCATAAGGAGGAAAGTCGCCATAGTATGAGGTCAGGCGTAGATTGCCATCCTCCAGGGTGAGAAAACGCATGCTGGGCGGTAAAGACGTCCAAGGCGGGTCATCTAGGTGATACTGACAGACGAGAAAGCCGTTCTCAAAGAATGACCTTGGCGTTGTGTTGTAGTTTCGTGTTGAAACGTGAACAAGAATAGATCAAAATGTCTACTCAGGCGGGGAGCTTGCAGATTAAAAAATGTCTGTGAGGCCCCTGTCCTGTCAAAGAATCGATATCCACTTACAGCGGGGGCTGTGTGATCCTTCCAAGTCCCGCGACGCGGCCGCTCCTTGTCACGTACCTATATAAATACAGCATTATTATTACCTTTCTATTATTATCCATATGATAGTATCGATAATCTCCTTTTCCATCGCATTGAGCAACTCTTCAGAGAATCGCGAAAGATAAGAGCTTATCCGGGGCGCACATGGTCATCTAATGCTTTGCGCTCTCACGCTGACATACCCCAGCTTGATGGACCCAAGATCCAAATAAAACATAGACTATTAGCGGCACCGAATGCCGCTGTAATTTCAGGCAGCATCAGCGTGGATATGATTTGCTGATGGCTTATTTCAGATAACCTGACACCAAGGGTGCTTCTAACGCCCTTTGTCATCTTCGTTGCCTTCCCACATGGCAGATATATGCCAAGATCTCACATCAAGGTCCCCGCCACCCGCCAAAGCAATAGGACATGGCCGAAATGTGAGCGCACATGTACCAAAGTGCATCTGACCACGACAGTATTAAGCAAGACCCACACACATGTTTCCTTCAACCAGCGAGCCCACTGACGAGAAGTCACAACAAAGACCTGGAGGGCCTAGTAACCACTATTCAAACGCAGCGAAAGTATGCATGCCAGACTTGCATGTATTCGTATCTTCGCAAGATACGCATATCGTGCCATGTCATCGCATGGCTAAGGCGTTAGTCATTCGACTTCAATAATTTAATTGGAGTAGTATTTGGCCTTGGCAGCTTGAAATGGGGCCATAATGGCTGAAGAAAAGGTGTCGCCGTCAATCAAAGGCTTGATGGACAACGCTTTAGACTTATCAAAGAAGTGGCAGGGCATCGACTAGACGCTACGAGAGCTTATTATCTGCATCGTCATGAGACCAGACGATTCTAGCCCAATTTTCTTTTTCTTGACAAATCGCGTGAGAACATGCTTAACCAAATCGAAGAGACCAAGGCACGTGCGATACTCCTCATTTAATCCAATCTCATAATTCCTGTAATCGCCGGTGAGAGACCTGAGAACGTGATAACAATAAGATGCTAATGAGATTCTTCTTCTTGCCTTGGACATCCGTCACATACTATGCCAAAGACTTGAGTGAAAGTTTCAACGCGCAGCATTTTCGGGATGCTTCCCTTACCTTCTCGATCGAGTCCTCCATCAGATATCGAATGGTGGTAACCTCTTGCGTTTGACCAATTCCATGCATCCGGGCGAGTGCCTGTTCTTAGATTACCACCATTCGATATCTAATGGAGGACTCGATCGACCGGCTATGGTGCGAGACATGTTACAACTACAGGAAAACACCTTCGGAATCGCTTTCATTCTGTGACTGCGACGCAGAATGCCCGATTGCGACAGTGCATTTGTATGCTTTCAGTCGCTCATCAAGTCCTTCCTGGGTCAATGACAACGTTGATCGCGAACATCACGTCCATCTCTTCATTGTTAAATTGGAGATATACCTGGAGATCTTCTCGAGACGGTAATTCGATATGGCCGCTAGATCTTCTAAGCATAATGTACCCAAGAAGTTTCTTTAGTCGATTAGTCGCAAGTTCCACCTTGCCACTTGTCCACAAGCTCGTAAAGTCCTTGTGAGATGTGTTTTTGTTTTCATACGGTGAAATTCGAAGAAACTTAAGTAGACTCTGAAGATCGACAAGTTGTTCTGTATGGGCGTGGCTGTGACCGCCCATCGAGACGACGACTTGATGTAACATACTGCTTGCGTCGTGGCAGCAGATGGGTCTTTGATACAATGAGCTGTTCGATTAATCTCTAACAGCTAAACAATCAGTCGGTTCCATCTCGCCGTGAGTATGATGCCTGTCTCTCGGCTTTTTCCCATTCATGGACCAGGGTTCGTTATGTCACCATCACAATGTCTAGCATCTCTAAGTTTCGCATATTGGTGATTCTTGATTTGTTATGATGGAAACGCCATCTAGAATTCGGGGGTCCGAGATGCCTATCGGGTTCAATTTGAATGCACAATAACCTGAAATAGCAAGTCTCACTCACTTGATGAGTTCATGCTGCCAATTTTGTCGCACTCTATCGTAGGTTCAATGCATCTAAACATGGATTTTGGTAACTCAAGTGATGGTGGCAGGATTATGTGCGTTGTTTTGATGCTATGCGGCATATGTGGCTTTTCGCTCAATGAGGCGCAGCAGGGTGAACACAGCCGCATATTCAGTCCAACGATCTGCTTGACTTTGTAGAGGAGACACGTTGCAGGTGTGTCCATGTTTGACCTACCAGAAACGTTTTGGCAAGGCATATTTGACGTACTTAAGGGCGCCAGTCAGATGAATTCGTTGCAGAGCTCCAAAGCTTGGTTTTTCCTTTCAACATTTAGCATCTCCTTTGCCCTCGAAATCCGGCGCTTATTTCTGCAGGTCATTCCAACAAAACATTTATTTTTCTAACTCCCCACGCCTTGCAAGCCATGGCATCACAGAGCAGCCTGAATGCGCATAAACAAGAAATGCACCCCGAACCTGGATTGGAGACGATGCCCAAAAGATTCCAAGATGAAACATCACCGAGAATTCGCAATCTCGGCACTGATCAACAGCAAAGTCAGCCTGAGGAGCTCGGTGAGCCCAGCGCGATCTCCGCAAACCAAGGGAACCCACTGCTGCAGACTGAAATATACAACAAAGATAATCCCATGGCATTGGTGATGCGTGGACTGAGCCTTAATCAGCAACGAAAGTGGCAGGAATTGCCCCGCGAGAAGCAAAATGCATTCATGGACGCTATGTATGTTCCTGGAGCCGCTATAAGCCAGATATCAAGCCAGATACCGCAGCCCCCTTCTACGATCAAAAATTGGGGCGAGCTCAAGCAGTGGTTGATACGAATCAATGCCAACCCTAGCGCCCAGAAAAGGGCTCTTGAGCTGCAGCAACTGTTTTTCCTCAAGCTGCTAAGCGGTAACCAAGCTCCAACTCAAAACCCTGGCGGCGATCAACTACCTCCTGGCGTCCAACCGCTAGACACTGAAGAAAGTAATAGAAACGCCGCTCTAGATAATGATTTACGAAATGTGACGGTTGTGCCGGAGGAAATCCAACATGCACGTCTAGCCAACCAGAAATTCAACGGCTGGAATGACGAGGACGTCTGGAGGTATCTCGTTCAGATTAAGCAGCATCAAATCAAGAAGAAGTATACGCCTCGACCTCCCCAGCAGCAACCTACACCAGACCAAGCCGACCAGTCAGGATGAGTGGTGGTCCAGATTGAAATAAGCAACGCGAATTTCGCTGTTCAATCGGCTATGCAAAGCGTGGCAATCACCTCTCAAGCAATTCACAACACACGCTTAACCAGCGACAGGAGGATTAGCGATGATGTGAAAGTAACATGGCTAACTTCCCCTCACAGTCCACGCGACAAGTTCAACTTGGGGACAATTGCAGTAAGCCCGGTCGCAGCAGATGCACATCATTCATGTATCGTCCACAGTATACGCGATAACTGGAGATCCTGTCGGACTCGGACAAGGTAAAGAGTGAACATGGTCCCTGAGGCTCGCTGGAGACCATGGGGAAAGCCTTTCGATTCAGCTCCACATGGAAGAGCAGAGGAAAAGATGCCTGACTCCTCTCGTGGTCGTCCTCGGCAAGATTGCCAACCTGCGACAAGCGCAAAATCAGTCAATCATTCGAGTACTTCATGTATTGTGCGGTCAATTTCTTACAAAAAGACTTTTTTACGATGTTGTTTTGTAGTAGATGTCGGTCCTTGGGTCTCCCTGTAACCTTGACTGATGTTCTGTTGTTGTGGAGGAGCGGGATACCCTGTAAGATAGCGAGCTCGAGTTGTCTTTTTTCTCCTTGGCAGCAAGGGCAACGCAGCATATCCAAGGCTGAGGTCTTGACTTCATGTTAGCAATTGAAATTGAGCCTTCAACACCAATTGCAATTTGTCCGGGTCTCATCAAATTTGACCGTGAAGGGCATACTATGCATCTGTCGGGTGGAAGGGAACGGACATAGGGGATGGAATCAAGCAAGCTCAACTCCAGCAGACGAATGTGCCACCTTACAGTCCCTATACTATATCGTAGATAGCCGTTGTTGCTTTGGCATCGCGCTTCGCCCACGTCGGTTGGAACTTGTTCAAGACCCAGCGGTGGACTTCTCTACCAAAGGAACAAACAGTCTGTAACTGAGTCAAGTGGCGACGTTGCTGTTTCCCGGCTGCACCGCAGATCTTCCCATCTTCACGGGAAATTTGTTCTTCGGACATACCGCCGTTCGTGGTTCGTGGGTAGTGATCTGCAGAAGAAAGAAATGTCGCGCTAATTGGCGGCATAGTAGAGGTTGGCCAGTGAGTCGCCATGTCTCATACATTTTCACCCTTGAACGGTCCCTGCATCCACGCGGCTACGCGACATCCTGCGCTATAGTGGGCCGAAAACGAGGTCTTGGCGCGTGGGGTATTCTCTACATCCGGATATCCGACTGGATTCCAGATTAGGCAGTTTCCCAGTACTAGTGCGCTTTGCATAATGACGCCGGTCCCTTCCTTTACATACTCACCTAACTTCTGTATTCTGGCTACTCGGAGTAACCTTGTAAGAGACTTTTAACAGACGTGACCTGTCCAAATCGACTCTTCATTTCCTGCACCGAACACCAAATACGAGTTATTCCATGCGTACCTATGCAAATCGGTCCGACTCGTCTGGGACAAGCTCGCATGGCCACGTGCTGCTCAGCGTCATGCCACGGTACTGCGGTATGCCAGGTCCGCAGATGATGGGGGAAATGAGGCCTTGCAAGACTTATATGGCCGAGCCGGATGACCAATTGCCCTCGGCACTATAAAGTACGCCAGTTCGAAGCACGACAAACTTCTTCTTTGCACGAAGATACTTTTGGCCGGCTGTTACTGGCATACACCTCACTGTTTCTATACTGCAGCTTGTGGGTGTAGACAAGATGAGGATCAATTCATATTTGCCTTACATGGCCGCATCCATGATTGCCATGGCCGCCAGCATTAGCGCTGCTGCCACCGCGGCGGACGAAGCAGAGATCGTTGAAGGGACCTTGCGCATCTATGGAAACGACTCATACACGATACCCTACCGAAAAGCACTTTCCAACGATGCACCACGAGCTCGATACCCCGGATTCGACAACACCACATATCTACTCAAGAACGGAACCATTCGTCGTGATGGAGCCAGGGCCTTGGAATGCGATATCATCTTGGAACGAGACGTGGCCATGACACTCAGAGATGGTGTTACCATGTACGCAGACGTTTTCCGTCCTGCAAACAACGCGAGCGTACCCACCATTCTTGCCTGGAGTCCGTACGGGAAGGAGATCGGAGGCCAGTGGTTGGACGACGTTGCGTCGCGAAGCGGCGTGGACCTCAGGGCCGTCTCGGAGCTGCAAAAGTTTGAAGGCCCAGATCCTGCGTACTGGGTCGCCCAGGGATACGCTGTTGTTAACCCCGATAGTCGAGGTGCATACTCTTCCGACGGCAATATCACCTTCTGGGGCCGCCAGCTGGCCGAAGATGGTTACGACTTTATCGAGTGGATCGCCGAACAGCCATGGAGTACTGGCAAGGTGGCCATGTCTGGCAACTCCTGGCTTGCCGTGTCCCAGTGGTTCATCGCCGCCGAACAGCCGCCGCATCTGACGGCTATCGCGCCCTGGGAGGGTCTGACGGATCTGTTCCGAGACTCTAGCAATAGGGGTGGCATCCCGCAACCTGGGTTCCAGGAAGGCATTATTACCACCTTTGCTGGCAACAACTTCGTCGAGGACTCTCCTCGCATGATCATCAACAGGCAGTTCATGGATGAATACTGGGAGGACAAGGTTGCTCGCCTGGACCAGATCACCGCACCAGCCTACATCGTTGCAAGCTACACCAATACGCTTCATACGCATGGATCATTCCAAGGTTTCCGCAATATCTCTTCCAGTCAGAAGTGGTTAAGGGTCCACAACTCTTCCGAGTGGCCCGATTATTATGCGACTGAACATGTCCAGGACCTGACCAGGTTTTTCGACTATTTCCTAAAGGGCATCGACAACGGTTGGGAAGAGACCGCACCTGTCCGCCTCGCAGTCCTTGACCCTGCCGAGCATGACATTCTCAACAGAGCGACGACGACCTGGCCTCCTCCAGGTCAGGTGCCGAACAAATTCTACTTGGCCAGCAACAACTCTCTGTCGCCGACACTTGAGACTATGGAGCAGAGTGCTTCGTACGTTGTCACAGGTGGAGCAGACTCTATTGAATTTAAATGGACTGTTGACGAGCTTGTTGAGACGATTGGTTACATGAAAGTCCGTGTATGGGTCGAGGCCGTGGGCTCAGACGATATGGAGCTATCGTTTACCGTGGCCAAGCGAACTGCCAATGGAACCGCCTACCTAAGCCACGCAGCTTCTTCAGAGTCAAGTACGCTGTACGAGTCTACAGGTCTCCTCCGAGTTTCTCAGAGGCACGTGGACGAGTCAAAGAGCGGCCTGTACGAGCCGTACTTGACTCACGACCGGGAGGAGCTGCTCTCCCCTGGTGAAATTGTACCCGTCGAGGTTGGCCTTTGGCCTATTGCACTGCGTCTTCACCCCGGGGAGCAGTTGGTGCTGACTATCAGCGCGGCGAGCATCACCCCCGCAACCGTCGACCTTGGGTTTGGAACCGCCATTGTGCCGGTTCCTGCCGCCGGCGGCACGTTTGCACAAGGTGCTAATGTGACGTTGATCAACCTGGGTGGCGACGCCGATTCGAATCCCGCCTACGTCAATGCTCAGCGCGTCGAGACACCAGCGTCTCGCAACAATGGTACTCATGTCTTCCACTTTGGCGGCTCGTATGACAGTTACGTCTTGGTGCCGCTGGGTGCCGTATCGTCCAGCCGCTGCTCTTCACAATCATGATTGCCATGGGCCCAATACAAGCTTCGGCTACGATTTTCAAAAAGACTAGAAGGCTTTAGGCAGAATGAATTGCCCAATCAAGTCATCTAACCTTAGTTCATGTATACATCATGAAGCCTGCTTCTGGATAACTGTTTAAATGAAAATATACAGACGGGAGGATAGATCACTGTTCATGTAGATACAGGATTCAATTCAGCAAGCAACTATAATGGTTTATAAATTCTTTCCAGGGGGGCAAACAGATTTCACAATGACATGTAATTGTAGCCAAAAGCCACTGAGAAAGTCGAGTCTTATCCGACGCCGCAGCATGTAATCCCAAGATCATGTGCAGATTGAATTATGGGCCAATCCGGATGTCCTTCCTCATTATGAAGGACATCCGAGCCATGACATAAGGCTCGCTTAACTATTGAAGCTGACTAGTTCTCTAGAAGACTTCATGATATCCGCAGGAAACCATTGTGAGTCCACCTCATCCTGCTTGCGTCGTCATATCCGGCGCTTTAAGTGCGAAATTGACTGCGTCAGTCACCTCTTTAGACCAACAGGACTTTCAGCCGGCACATTACTCTTTTGGAACATTGTTGACAAGGCGGTTTCAAGTGTTCGATCTAGCATTGTACGTATGCCCACAATCATGTCCAAGACGCTGGTTTTGTTAGTCAGTTTCGCCAGTACATCTACAGCCTTCTCGATGTGGGACGAGTTCAGAATAAGCGGCTCTTTCGAATTCAATGAGTCAAAAACAAGAACCAAACAAGCACTTTCGAGATAAAAGGCTACCTTGGAGAAATGCTGAAGGGAATTAGCGGAAGGAACAAGGAAGCGGGCCAGTTGAAAGCCTACCAGCGCGGGACTTTTCTCATATAAGATATCTTCGGCAAGCTCAATAAGGCGCCGCGCGGCTCTCACAGCCTCGGCGGGCTCTTGCACTTCGTCCGCCTTCGCTGTCACTGCAATGCATGGGCTTGCACCGTTGGCGCCACACGCATGCTCAGGGAAGCGCGTTGAGACAATCTGGATAATCAATAGAGGTCGATGAAGGAGCATCACTGCCAATTCATACTCTAAAGCTCATTAGAGGCAATGAACGTGGATGAACGCCGAAACGATGAGGGGGCGAAAAGAAAATACCTAGTTTCAGAAGCATGGGATGCACACCACAGTCTTTAACCTGCATCCGTCGGGTAAGGTCTATGCCTAGAGAATCATTCACGTAGCGTACGACATCCTCAAGATGATGAAGTAACAGATCGCGTGTCTTTGTAAGGGCTTCCAAGGATTGGTCTGTGTCTTCGTGCATCTGCTTGATGGCGGTCGATATTTTGGCAATTTGAAAGAAAACTTTCAAGAAGGGCAGATCTTGAGGTTCTTGGACAGTTGAAGCTTGCAGGGCGGCTGGTCGGCCCAATGCTGTGCACAGAAAGCTTACAAACATTAACCACAAGAACTCAGTAGAGCAAGGGGTAATGTCACCTTTCCTGTACGAAGAGGGCACAATAGACGGTAGGGCCCAAGGGATCGCTGGCCATGCTGTTTGAGGTCCACGACGTCTGGTGCAGTCCGACAGCATGGGCTGCGCGACATGCGTGCCCGTTGTGCAGGTAAGCCAAGTTGTATCGGCCGGTACAATCGTAGAACAGAGCGTGAGCAAGAAACTTAGCAAAAGTCCTGGTTTTGTCTTCAGGGAGACAGAAGAATCTACTTATCATAAGGAAGTTGAAGATTACGACTTCATTGTTGATTATATGCCGGTACTCATCGGCAATCTGATGGGCCATCTGGAGAAGCCCCTCGCCCTCGTCTCTGGCGCCGCAGAACAAAGCACCCGTGGCGAGTGCCGCGAGTAGGACGGCTCGATGGAGTGGAGCCAATGCCAGGCCGTCCAGTGCTTCCAAGTGAGGCAGCCGAGCACGCAAATCTTCCTCTCTCACAATAGGGAACAAAACGCCGATAGTTTCAAAGTAGGCGTCTAGATACCGAGGCGGGTCGTTTGGCGCATTTTCATAAGGCGGTCGGTCAAGGTTGGCCAGCTGGGAATGAAAACATACATTCCGATAGTGGAATTCGTCGAGCCCGTCGCCGGCATCCTGGACGTATCCCGGAGAAGGTTGCAACCCAACCCCGTGATGATGGCTCAACTGACGATACAGCTGCTGCATCAGAGAAAAGTTGGAAGACGGGCCGTAGTATAGCTCCGAAAAGGACTTGCCCGGAAGATCTTGCGAGGCACGCACACGCGGGAAAAGGCTACAAAGCTCAGCCGCTGTCGACGCTGCTGTCGACGCTGCTGTCCCTTGTCTGGGCAGGGCCACAGCCCGCTTCCGACGAGGACGCTTCTTTACTCTATATGCACAAGTCACACCTCTCTGCGCACATTTGCTGCAAGGGGAGGCGCCATCGCATTTCTGCTTGTGCAGGCGGCACCTCTCGCAGGCGATCTGGTTACGGACGAGTCCTTTTTGAGCTTGAGATTGAGAATGTATAGAGTCGATGGGGTTGTCACGCGGTGCCGATACGTCCATGGTGACCGACAATCGGCTAGGTAAGAAAGTGTCCTGGACCTGAATCCTCGTAGGCACGGTGCACTGAAAAATAAAGGGAGAGAAAAGAGCAATTGGGGCGAAGGCATTGCGCCTTGGCCTTGAGCTTGTACGGTGGTTGTGTGGATACATTAACAATTATGGGGGACTTGTCACCAGGCGAGCCAGGAGTGCTGCTAAAACCGTTGCACACTGAACAATAGCGCCATGGCGTTCACATAGCCGTACATGGATAGCCGGGCCACGATAGCGAGCTCGAGGCATGTCATGCACCAGACGTCCATCATGGCAGCAAGAGCCGGGTGGCACAAGGCTGGGATATTGACTTCATAGTTCGCAATTTCCGTCATTGAGCCTGTCGCGCCCTTGGCTGGGCCTCGATGTATTCGACCTCAAGTGCATGTGGTCCTTCCATCAAGGAGAGCAACACGGAGAGGTGGGATAGCGGCCGGCTGGGGCAGGCGTAGGCACCATGGTCCATTAAGTTGGTGGGGCATGGTCGCTAAATGGTTACAAAATGCGACGTGCGGCAGCTCCTGTTCGCAGAGTGCGGTACAGAATACTCCTCGCCGCGTATGCAGCACATAAGGCTGTGGTGACCTTTTGCGAAGGACCATGGGTCAATCATCCTACTGCGCATGGTATTCCATCATGACCTAGTAGGTACCTTGTATGATCAGTCTGAACCATAAGATACTACCGGGGTCCCCCCCGAAGGCTGGAAGGGACCTGTGGGGCACGACCCAAGTATATACATTAGATACTGCATGAAATCCTTGTTGGAATTCTGAGGTGGTCTTATTTTAATCGCATTGCGACGAATGAACGCACCAGGACGGACAATAAGCAGGTATTTGAGGCATGCGCAAGTCTCTGTTCGCGGATATAAAAGAGATGTCATCGCCGCCAAATACACACCCGCAATAAGGGGACCAACGTCATAGTGTTGTTTTGCCTTTGGTGTCTGCGGTTTGTACGTTTTTATAATCCTACGGCTTTTTCTACGGCGTACAACTAAGCCTAGAATATGAGGACTTCGCTGTTCTTGCTGGCTGCTTTTGTGGTGCCAGTTCTTTGCGACACATTCTCTCAGTTTCAATACTTCTTCCCCGAGTGGTCAAAAGAGTTGACCTATATCCGAGACAACAACTGCTCCGATGACTATGCCGCGTACATTGACCCCGATAAGCCCCGGATACACCATGATCCGTCAGGCTATACTCCAATAAACTTCAACGGTTACTACCTGGCCAATTGTATCCTAGACAACATGGACGAATTCCAAAAGGCGGAAATGGGTGTCGTGGCAGTGGTTCTCGGTCTGCTTCCAACCCTTCTGACAATGATTGGACCAACAAGAGATGAGGTCAGCCTGCTGGCTCTTCGACGGCCGGTCCTGGCTGGCTTGCTTTCTCTTTCGCAGCCAGTTCTACGTCAGGCCGATGCAAAGAGTAGCCCTTGGGAAAATCTGGATGTGCCACACGTCCTACGTATCCTACCTTTTCTATCCCGACCAGATTCCTGGTGGGAAATCATGCTCTTGGCAATAGAGTACGTCACGGCGATGGGCGCCGTAGCCAATCTGGTATACCTAGGGGTGCAGCTGGCATACAAGTCCATCACAGTGTCAACGATAGCCTTCAACACTCTTCCGTCGACCTACGGCACGCTGTTGTGGCTCATACTCATGGTGGCCATCAACCTGCTGAGCACTCTGGACTTGTGGCTCCGATGCCGAATGGGAAGGGAAGAACCGCCAAGCGGAACGCCTCACAGCTGGCTCTCCATACAGCTGGCGCCGCGCATCACTGTGCACAACCCAAAGGCCCTGATGACGGTGCATGATGTAGAGACAACGCCTCGGTTTTCCGCCACGATTTATGCCTTGCAGAAGCTCATGTCGTTTCTAGCAGACATGGGCGTCGTCGCCTTGTTCATTTATGCTACAATCATCATGTCCAGTCAGCTATTCATCTCCATGTGGGATGCCGTCAAGCTCATGGCCCAGATACTGGCCGGCGCCATGGCATCTAAACTCGTGCTGAGATTTGAGCTCCATGGCATGCACGCAAGGCAAACTGGGGCAAGTCGCCCTCCTCATGTAGAAACATAAGTGATATCTCTTTGTAGCATATAATCTTGATAGGTGGAACAAGATAGCTTCAACCCTAATTTCCCCATGCTGTAGCCCTACTTGACATGTAACCTTCGTTAACCACAACCAAGGAAGCGAGTAGTCTGTCTTATGCCCAGATTTCTTCCTCTGCGCCCTTGCAGTCTAGGTAGATCATACTCCCAGGGACAGCTTATCATGCATATCCAGGACAATCCTTCAAGTCATCATCAGATCATCTTGTAGGCCACCGGGGTTGTCTTATAGCGCCTTATTGATACTCGACTCCACAATGGTCCCACTGAGGTGTATATGTCTGGGTCTAATTGCAGGTGTCGGGTTAGGGCCTAACCTAAATCTGTATTTGGCCCCCAAACACTCCCGTCCGGCTGTAGGGCTCCCCATGAATCCTGCCGTGCGGCTGATGGAATATCAGGTACAGGGGTTACGTGTCGTTTGAAAATGTGCTACCCGTTCTTGGCAACCCTACCAGGCTGAGGTGGTTAATCCATGCGCATGTTTTCGCTTTTGCATAATTAAAGTCCCATCAAAGGATTTCTGTGTGGTATGCTCTTAAAGAGGACAAAGAAAAGGGCACAATGGTGCCGCTGAAGTCTTGACATGCCAAGGGGGTTGACAGCGTATCTTACAGGGCAGAACACACCTCCATGAGTGATTGATACCTGAGTCGTGCGAATGAATTATATTGCTAATCAATGACTTCAAGCATATGGTTGATGCGGATGTCAAGGAGAGTCGTACCCCTGTGGAAAAGTCGGTGCAATCAAAGACGCAGCCAACATTATCATCTCACCAGGCCTGATTATACAACGCTGTAAGTCTTCTGATCAACTTTCGACGAGATCCCTCAAAGCTTCTGCTAGGAGTTTATGTATCGCCTGGCCCGGATGGAAACCATTCCACCACAAACAACTGATTCCATCACTGTTGTAGCAGACAGCGTCGGGCGCTCCGAATGCTTGTGGATCATTGAGCGCTTGGTTGAACAGAGGTCCAGTCTCTAGCAGCCAAGTTTTCGCCTGGGGATGTGCAGTCGCAAAATCCTCATGCTTACTCTGCAGTAAAGAATTAAAGCTTTCCACTGCAGTTCTATATCCTTCTTGGACAGTGGCATTTTTTGACAGCACGTCAGGAGTTTTCTCTATCGGTGGGACCGAGAGGAAAGCAAAGTTGCGCGCCCCAAGTTCGTACAGCTCTTCCACCGCCTCAAAGTATCGGTCAAGAAGCTTCGGCCTCAAGGTTGTCCAATTCCCCGGGAAGTATCCACGGTCGATATCGTTGACTCCGAACCATGTAGTAAACAATGTAGAATCCGGCTGCCAGGCGGCAATCGGGTTTGAACCAGTATAGTAGCTTGCGAACTCTTCATTTTGCTCGATGAATGACAGCACTGAATCTATGTAACCCGCAACGAGTGCATCGTCAATAGTCGCTCCTGAGTATGCGAGATCATAGTCAAAGGTGCCTTCGTGCTCTGAGATAAGAAATCCCACGTAATTATTACCGCCAGACGTCGTGGTTCCTGGAAAAGCGGGATTTCCGATAGGGTTGGTTGCGGATGGTTGGGCGCCAGATACATTGAATTTCGTTTCCGAGTAACTATCACCACTACAAGGACAAATGTTAATAACATTTCCTACTATGACCACCCTCTAACTTACAATGTGAATATCTTTGTATATGGCCATTCTTGTCGCAAATGGTGTCTTGTTGGTTCCCCACTGGCAGTAGAAACTATGCCGCTACATACTAATAGAAGCAGAACAGCGTATCGATGCCACATGATTGGCTCAGAGTTGAGAAATGGATTGGTATACTGTTTATTTGATAACCAATGTATTTTCTTAAGATGAAGCGCAGCTACGCAGTTATATGGATTTGCAAGCTTCAACACAGCAAACCATTCCCCGCAATTTTCCACCAATAATCAACAGCTGACACTACTTTGTCGGCGGTCCACAGATCTGAATTCTCCGTGAAGTGGGTTGGTTGCACAACGTCAATAGACAGCAAATTCCAGGAGGGGCGACTGCAAAGAAGTCGCCGGTGAAGCAAACTCAACATCTATGCAGATGCTAAGGCATATGCTAAAGACGAACGGGGGTTGTAAATATAAACTCAACTCCAAGCTCGCTTAGTAGGTATTGAATCCTTTAGTCCGACTTTCGTCGCCATCTCGCCCGATGATACCCCGAATACTGCAACACGCGTCGGAATAATGGGTATCATACCAATAAACGCTACGCCAAGTCTGCAGTAATGTTACATTGAGATGATTGAATTATGAATTAAAACAACGTTGAAGAGGGGGAGACTGGGATAAATCGATGTAATCAAATTATAAGTTTATATACTAATACTAAAGAAACGCCGAGATTATATACTATTCTAGTGAGTCTGCCGCCAATCAAAAGGGACTGGAAATATATGCAGATGACCTATTCCAAATCATGTGCCTAATCTAGACTGTAGTTGAGTTTGGACTTCCAACCAAGGCAAAAAGCTCAATTGCGGCAAGTCCAAAAAGCGCAGCATCATTTGTTGTAACAAAAGTAGCTTCCGTTACTGGAATCAGTGTCAGGCTACCATTGACCTGAGTAGTCGCCCAGGTGCCATTTGACTTTAATCCGTCTGTATCAAGAAATTCCTTCCAAGCTCTTGCTGCAAGAGTGGAGTTGTTTCGTCTGTTGGCAGCGTAGGCCGTGTGCTTTGAGTGGCCTTGCCTGAGGCTGACGCCGGAAAAGCTCTTGCCAAAGCGAGCCTGCTGTTCAGCTTTGGGGGCGCCGTAGTAATAGCCATAGTCGAGCCATGCATCCTCGAAACCAGGCGCCAGATCCGAGCCAAAATGCTCAATAATCTGATCTATTACTTCTTGCATGCCAAAGACGCCGTTCAAGTGAGATATATCCACAGTGCCAAGATTGTCCGGATCCGTTGGTGGCGCCGAAAACTCGCCAGTGTAGAGATTATATGTCGCTTCGCCTGTAACGAACCCAAATTTGAGCTTCGGGATGGTCGAGGTTGCACGGGTCAACTTGTCCCGTGCTTCGATCCACCTCGGGCCACGTCTTTCCCATTCCATCAGCTGTGCGCAAGCAAGTCCCGCCCAGTCTGTACCAAAGGCTATATACAGTGCTTCAGGGGATGGTACGTAGATGACGCTGGGGTCTCGAACTTTCCGCCGGGCATCGACGTTGACAAAGCCCCATTCGGCTTGCAGAGTTTCGTGTATTAGATCTCCGGTACGCTCATCGCCGCCTGATACATAGTAGAAAACTCGGCGATAGATGGGTGTTGATATTCGGGCCTGCTTGGCGCTATCTCCCCAGTGTTGGACTCCATGGCGTGTTCCGAGACCCGAAAAGTTGCCCAGATGGTATACATCAACCTCTCCGCCATGACGAACCTGGGCCTCGGCGAGTCGATAAACATCTGCGTTTCCAGTCCGTAGGAACTGATTCCAAAAGAAAAGATCTGGGGAGAGTTCAGAGTTATCCCAGGCGTAGCCACCGCTGTCATATCGCCAAGTATGTCTGCTATCGTCATATCGATGCATGATATCCCCGTGATCCCAGAAGCCGTACCAGCGACGTTGTTCGACTTGCTCGCGGTAGAATTGTACCAGAAACTCTAGCTTCGACTCGATGGCTTGAGAGTCTGCTGTTGACGTATCCGGCTGATCCCAGTATGAGCCTATAGCCCGGCTTTCTATATAGACATTTGGATCGGCGACAAGTACTGGCGGCTCGTTACTGTACCTTGCTAACGTGGCAAGGAAATCAGATGGTGGTGTCTCGTCGAATCCAACAAGGAACACCTCGTTAGTGCGTGCGATACCATAAGGAGTGTTGTAGCCAGGCTCGTAGTCTTCGTATGTAGCTTCCAACATGTCGAGTTGCTTTGCGTACGTGTCGGCTCCCATTGTGTCGTGGTAGGGCCTCATGTCGTTTGGAGGAGCTTCAGGGCTGTACAGCCACAAGGTTATGGATCCCATGTCTGCAGTAGCATTATTGACGTCCAAACCTGTGGGATAACGTTTCCAAAAATCACGATGACTGAGTCCCAGACCTCCTACTGTTGGCCCGCCGAGGAATGCAAAGCCGTTTGAACGAGATCCGCCTGGTATTTTAACCCAAGACTGTCCAGACTTGGTCCGCTTTTTTACGGTGAAACCGTCTGGTGATAGCTGCAATAGACGAAAGTCGTTCCACGTTGGAATCCATTGTAAGCGGCTACTCGTGGCATTATTCCACTGCGACAGTGGCGGTGCAGCTTTCCCCTCATACTGTGCAGTGCGGACCGCTAATCCTGGATCCTTTGATGCACTGGTGATGCCCTGAGCAGATTCGTGCAGGAACCCATCATTTAGTCCACCTATCCTGATGTGGCGATCAAACAATTGCTCTCCTTTCAGCGGGACGTCAAATCTGATCCCCAAGGAGCTTATGATGTCTGTGGACGAATCTCCATCGTAAACAATACTATGGATGATTCTGATCATCGGAGAGTCTGCATATAGATAGAAACGGACGGTGAAAGGCAGCCACGCCCTGTGATCCATCTCCGTGTCGCCTGTCACAGTGTGGGTTCCGTTTACAGTGACCAAAGCTCGCACAAAGCTGCCGAGAGACAATGTAACACTTTCAATTTGGCTTTCGAAATCGAGATAGTCAATGCTACTTGGACTTGTACCGTCATCTACGACGCCAGATTGTGACTGAAGTACCAGTCTGCCGTTTGTGCCGATCAGCTTTCCAGATGATGTTAGAATAGAGCTGACAAGAGAGTTGCCCGTCTTTGGGAAAGAGACTGATATCTTCCCGGTTTCAACGGTGATATTGTCAGCAGAGTCATCAACTCGCAAGGCGCTGCTTGACTGTCTTTTCGGAAGTCCGGTATAGTTGGAACTTTGGTTGGGTTCGAACCCAGATGCAGTAATAGTCAATTGTTCAAAGACCTTGTCCGAGGCGCCAACTGCGTGCCCAGTCCATTTAATTGAACCATCAGGCCAGAATCCAGTAACCCAAGATTGCAACGATATTTCATCGAGTCCATCGAAAGCGATGAATGTGGTTGAATTGCTGTCAAACTGACCTCTAGCCCAAGGAAGCCCACTATTATTCTGGTTAGGTACATGGCACACAGACATCTAAGTGGGAAAATTCAATGTTGGAAGTCTTACAAAGTTGTTCCTGGATTGTATTCTGGCAGTTCCCCCAGCCAGTGAACCTGGCTTGATTTTGAGCTTGCTAGCTGGCCTGCGGTGAGGACCCAGAAGCCGCACAGCGGAGCGAGATACAGGTTTACCTGATTCAACATCATGAAATAATTTGTTGAATGACAGGGAAAATCCTCGAAAAAGAAAATTGGTATATATACTGGCTATGAGAAGAGGAAAAAACATTCCATCAGCTCTGCGCACTAGAGCCGTCCATGCCTACATAGTTGAGTTCCATTGAAAAGATTGAGTCATATTTGCAACGCCGATCTGAAGAGTTCTTCAGACTGTACACAAAGCCATCATTCCTCGGACCAGTGTTTCGGCCGATGAAGCAGGAATCCTCCGCCAATGAGACAAAAGCTTGGCCTTGAAAAGGAGAAGATTTTACATTATCACTATACAGTTACTTCATCAAGTCGACGGCCATCTCGCCAGACAGCACACTATAAGCTTTCTCAATAAGCTTACGAAACTACATATTTGAATAATTGCCATATAGCTGAGCGATATTCTGTTAACTTTTCTTAATCCATTCCAAATTTTCACTCGGCCGTTTTCATCTCTATATCACGTGAATCCTTGGCCCTTGGTTCCATTGTACTATTCTATTTGTGGCTGAATGCAGGTATCTCTTTCCCAACGGACTTTCCGACTGTTCTTCGGGGTATCTAACGCGGAGAAGCTGAAAGTCATCTCCGTAAGGAACTTGTGGCTGATTTTCGAAGTGGGGCCGGATCCAACATATATGACCAAATACTATATCATGGCCGCGGGCGGACTGACGTAAAGTCCAGCATCCGACCACTTCTCAAGAACATCAACTCTATTGTTATTTGTCTGCGTAAACCAATCTTTGGCTCCAGAGACTTGTTGTTTAAAAACGTCGATGTAGTACCACATAGATATTCACTCAAAATGTAATGCAGAATAGAGCAGCCGAATATCTCCGCTTGTTAGGGAGCACTGTATCGAAGCAAACTTGATGATCATGATCCCAAGACAGATTACGAAACAATTCTGTAACACGGGAGTGCTGAAGAAATATATCAAGGATCTTGAAAAAGAAAATAAGGGAAGGCATGATTAAACCCCCATCAAGCAAGCTTCTCCTCTCTTTTGCATGCTCGTAGTGCTCCCTGAAAGACAAAGTGACTGGGGACACCTCTACTTTGATGGCCATATGAACAGATTTTCCGTGCAGGAGAACAGGAGGTGATGAAAGACGAAACTACTACCACTTTGCACTAGGGCGACTGGGCAACTACCATAGTGAAGGTCTGGTACGTCTCATCTGAGCCAATGTGTGAAGGGGAGGATGTGATCGAAGGAGTATTGAAAGATGTCTTGCACCCACTGTCATTGAAACATCAGATGGCTTGATCCGAGTTCCTATCGACCTTTCTGAGTTGAAATAAAAACTTGTTGAAGCTCTCTGAGAATGATTGGGAGATTAACCAGTATCTTCCACTGGCCATCATCCATAGGCTTCAGCCTTTGAGCCAATTGACCTATTCATGGCTGATCAAATGTGGCCAGTAATATATAATTTGTGATGAGCTATATGTAGAAAAGCCGGCTGGAGACATACTGAGTGTTGTTAAGAGTCTTTTTTTGGCTCTTTCGGCCCACTGCTCAAAAGTGTGTGCTGCTGCGGAGCACTGAGGCGTGAGGATCATCATTTTCAACTGTTCCCAAACTTCTTTCACGCCATCAAGAGTACTTCCGAGTTGTGTATGCTGATCCTGTTGACTGTTCGTAGCATTGTACATTTCTTTGATGATCTTTGCGTCTTTGCAAGCATATTGCAAGCAAGTGAGAGCGCACTCAACGGGTCCATCGTAGGGCTCTGGAGCACTTGGCCAGCCTCTAATGAATGGTATGATGCTTGAGAAAATCGAAGATGCCATTTTCTCATTTGAATGAGGCTGAGATGATGTGTGGTTATCCACGCGAGAGGGGCTGTGCGGAACATTCGGTTGCGAAACCAAGTCTGTCCAATCACTCATTCGCGACTCCTCTTCTCCTCATGGCAACATGCTTACTTGCCTACTGTTTAGGTATTTTTTTCTTCGTTCATCTGCAAAAAGCACTCACGGGGCGTTTATGAGCGATTCGAATGACATTGATTATAGCCTCACGAATATGTGTGTACGAATTCGAATCATTATATTATAAAAGTGCATTGTCCATTGTATTCAAGATCTCGCATTTTGCCAGGACTAGCTGCGAAAGGGTCTTCCACGCACCTCATATTGCAATCCCGAATAGCGCAACTTTACGGACCTGGTCATTTCCTAGGAATCAGTCTCTAGATCCGTCAATTGTCAATACACACCATCAGATGTTTGCGACTAGCAAAACAACATGTCAATCATCACAATAGCTGTACTGCACTATGCCAAATTAACAGGTGCGCAATTGCGAAAAGATTCTATAGTAATACTGTTCGCTCCCCCCCTTCCCTTTTTTTTTCTTCCTCTTTTTTCCACCTGCTCGCGCAATAGACTGTTCATCTTACCTAATCCCTCCATTCCTCCATTGCTGAGCCGCGTTGCAAGCAGATCACTCAGCTTTCTCAACCACGGCCCTGCCCAGCACCATCGCAGCTGAGATGGGTATGGCTTGCCACTACAATTACTTGCTGTGCTTGCTGTATATGTCTTAGTAGAGGTGATAACATTAGACAACCGGACATATTATCAACACCGCGACATATTCACAGTTGGTGCAGACGTCTTTTGACTCCATGATCGGTCCTGAAGGCTGTTGGAAGCTGCAAGGGACCGATGATCAGATAGTGATTACTCAGTGACTGATGTGAGCGGGTAGTAGTGCGGACTGCGGAGCATCTCGGTGAACCCCTGCTTACTTGCAAGCGCCGCCGAGTCCTGACGTTGGCGTGCGTGGTGCGTGAGTGTTGCTGGGGATCTTGACCTGCGTCAATAAAGAAGCAATACAGTACAAGTCAATGTCTGGGTTTTCCAATCATAAACTTTTGAATTTTTGTCAAAATAGTAAATATAGCCTTTCCACCCCCCTTTGCACTCGAGCATGTCTGCAATGCATACATATATTTACAGTAGATAGCAAGCAGCGGCTGGTTACACTCGATTGGGAGAGGCAGCTTATTTAGCACAGCCGCAAACCATCTATATGGTTTTTTTAAGTTGTTGATAAAAATGGCAACAAGCGACGTGCAGCCGAACGATGCGGTTCTTCATTCGCTGGCGTGCAAGACCCCCCGCCTTGGCGCATAAGGGCCAACCCACCCCCCTAAGGGTAGGTAGTGGTAAGGTAAGCACCGACGATGCTCGTCATGGTCGACAGCAGTTGGGGGAGTAAGACCCTGCCTGGCTTATTACAGAGTCCCATGTGCAATATCCGTAGAGCGTTTAAGTTGCGAGGAGGGGCGATTTGTTGGCCGTATTCTCAAGTTGCAGACCGTATGCGGGACCGATGCACCGAACAAGCAGCGTTGAAGTTTGTTACTTTAATGACATGTGTCGAGGTATCCTGCCTTGCCTGCTTCTTGCCAAGCATAGCATCAACCTTGGGGGGGAACGGGGCATGGATCTCTTTTGCTACGATTGAGTGGCGGGTCACGGGCGTCGGTCTCCCTTTATTGTTTTCCGAGTTCTTGTTTGTGTAGTCGATACGAGGTTGAGAGCGGTGCCGGCAAAGACTGGGACTTTCATCGGAAGGAATCCATTGCCTGCCACTTTCAAAACAGCCAAAGGGGATGAATGTCATTTCAACATTGTCGGGAGGAGGCTACCCAATTATTGGGATAGCGGGCCAAGATCCCGGGCTGAGGTGGGACTTTTTGGTATCGGTAGCAGAACCAGTCAGTAGATGTCATGGAGAGGAGGGAGGAATGGGAATTGAAGGCTTGGGAATCAAAGGCATCAATCATCTCCATCTCTCTTCTTATCCCATCTCTGCATATTCTACCGCCTCTCCTCAGCCTCTCCACCTGTGACACCATACCAAGCAACAGCCCATGCGCAGCTTGATGTAATCTGTAGTCTATGTTGTACTTGCAGCTTGGTAGAAACTACGACACTACCCGTAGCTTGCAGGGCTCTGGGCCCCGGTCGGGAAGGAATAAACCTTGGAAAACTTCGCCTCTTTCCCTTCTCCTTCCTCTCGAATCCCCCCTTCTGACCAATTTCACCCAAATTTGCTTTGTTTTAATTTCCATTTCTCTGGTGATGCATTCACTTGCCTCTTCTTGGACGACTTGCTTCTGTCGCGACTATACCGAGATATTGTTGTTTATAGACTCTCGCCCTTGCGCGCGACAGAGTCATGTATAAACAATCGATTCTCCACAACCTCATGTTCCAGCTGCCACCCGCAACCTTGATCCTGGTCTTCTCAACAGTGCTGGGCCTAACGGATGCGCATGCGCTACCGCGACAAACCACCACCGTAGAACACCACGAGCTGCAGCACATTGTCGCATGGCCGCCGATACCTACAGAGGCACCGCTCTCTCCCTTTGAGCTATTGCGCAGACAAGAGGACAATACAATATGTGGTTATATCGGGGATTTACCGGCAACCTGCTCGGCCGGGTCGCATTGCGTCTTGGACACCGAGCACAATGTTATGGGATGCTGCCCCAACGGCGGCGCTTGCACGGCAGGAGTCTTTACGGGCTGCGTCGACTACAACAGTGGCCCACAGACAGAGAATAACCCATATGTCTACACATGCGCGGGGTCTGATGTTTGTTACCAAAACGACTTTGGAGGAGGAGTCTCTCAATTCGGCTGTGGGACAGCTTCAAGCCTAGCAACGACCGTCCAGGCATCATTGAGTGGTACGGATGTCATGGTTATCACCAGCTCCGTAGACCTGACCGCCACGCCAACAACACTCTCTGAGCCGACCACAATTAACCCAAGCACCGGCACGAGGAGCTTCTCGTCCTCATCGTCTTCCACAAGCTCTTCTTCGTCCTCCTCGAGTTCTTCATCTTCATCCTCTTCATCTTCGACATCTGTCGCTACGTCGGCTACCCCAACAACTTCGAGTACGAATACATCAACACCCACTGAAGCACCGGCAACCACGTCATCATCTTTCGATCGCACTGGTGCAATTGTTGGTGGTACAATTGCTGGAGTTGCTATTCTTGTTGCGGCCATTGCTATTGCAATATTTTGTCTCCGAAAGCACCGAAACAGACGCCAAGGGCCTGGTCCTGCACCAAGCGCGCCGCCGACTTCTGAATATATGAGGTGAGTGACTTTAATCTGACATTACCGCCCACGGAGGTATGCGCGTATGAGCTAATCTAAAATGGCAGTCCCATAAGGTCTCACGGTGCAGCATTTGCCCCTCTACCAACTTGGCAGGAGGAGGAGGAACCGGTGACACCGCAGCCACATTACAATCAGCCATATGGCCAAACAGACCACGTACTTGATACCTACACGCCCTACGGCCCTGCACAAGTTCATGGCGCACAGGTCGCTCAAGGGCAATATGGAGTCCCGCCCAGTGCACCCGATTATACTCTTCCAGCAGTGGCGGCGGCAACACCTATCGCTGATGCCCACATGAGGAACCCTTCCAACGAAATCGACGACTTTTCTCATGGTTATGCGCCCGCCGTCGGACAAACCCGCCTAGATGAGGATCAACAGCCACTCACGAGCTCAGCATATCCTCACGACTACTCTCATGGCTACACAGCTACCGGCGGGCAATTTTACGCGGAGGAGAATCAACAACCGCCTACAGACCCAACCCATCATTACTCGGAATCTGACTATGGAGGAGGCACACACAGATCAGGCGACCGGCCACTTTGGCAGCAGAATATTAGGGGGAGCCGAAACTTGACATGGATGTAAAGTGTGAACTGTATATGGAAGCTGTATTTATTGGTTCTTTGGAAATTTGCTTTCTTGCATAAGTTTGCGTGGTACACGGCATTGGCTACAGGAGTTTTGGAACGGGTCACTAGCATATCTTTCTGGAACAGGCACGATACGCCGTTTGGAAACTGGAAAATGTTTCTCGCATGCATGGCGTTCGCGGATGGATTATTCATCGATGGGTTCAGCAATGATGCATACCTAGGCTATATCATATTTATGGGCAATGAGCATGAGCAGTGCCGGTATAGCACTGCTTGACTAAAGAAATTAATTATTATTATCCACTGATTAAAATTCCCTCGGATTCTTGGTCTTGGCCTTTTGTCTTTAATATATATATCCTCTCCGCTAGAGGGGGTTTAGCAATCCGGTAACACTGCCCTCTAGACGGAAGGGAAGGAAGGGAAATTGAGACTGGAGAGGTTTCGTCCCATTGACAGGAGTTGCTACATGACGCACAGCCATGGTAGTGAAACATCCTCGTTCAAAGGATTCAAAGAAGCGAGATGCCAGGAGAATTTTGGGTCATGATTGCCGCATGCAAGGCAGATTTCGTGCATTTCCCGTTAAACAGATGGACTGCTAGTTGTTATGTTACACGTCCGAGGAACAAGACCCTTGGCTCTGCCGATTTCAATAAAATGGAAAACGGATCGTGAACCGTTTAACCATTTGGGGTTTAAGTCCTTGATCTATCATGGCTGTCATCTGTCAAGTCGACTCTAAATTGCCAGAGATGGCCATGGAAATCATAGCTTGACTACGAATAAGAGTGCACCTGATGCTTTATACGTGCAGACTGACATGAGTACGCCCGCGCTCATATTACTTGTCATAACCGACATACCTTACCCATTATTAGTGAATATAGTGGCGCTAAGCTTTGCCTAGGCCCATGTATGTCTAGCTAGGAAAGCCCCTGTCTCTGTGGTGTACCCCGCGATTAGAGCCTATTAAAAGTGCGACGCGACTAAGAGACGCGTCAAAAGTCCATCCCACCTGTCATCGCTCAGTCTGATTTGTACATGTTCAAAACACGACAACTATAGTACTGAGAATTTACAAGAAGAAGGAATACCCAATGGACCCAGTACTATCAGAGACGGCACCAGCCCAGATTGCTGCAGAGGCCAAGCAGCAGAACGGTATTACAACCACGAAACCACACGAGGAGTACCAGTATCTCGATCTGGTGCAGGAGATTTTGGAGACAGGAGAGCACCGCCCTGACAGGTAGGATTCCTTGAGCCATTCCACACGTCGACAGCTCTTCGTTCGCTATTTCAAACATCTAATGCTCCATCTGTAGAACAGGAACCGGAACATACAGCATCTTTGCGCCACGCCCGCTCAAGTTCTCCCTCAACGCCAACGGATCGCCTATTCTGCCGCTGCTGACGACGAAGCGCGTATTCCTCAAGGCTGTCGTGGCGGAACTGCTATGGTTTATTGAGGGCAACACTTCGTCGCTGGCACTCTCCGAGGCCGGCGTCAAGATCTGGGACGGCAACGGGTCGCGCGAGTTCCTCGACGGGGCTGGACTGTCGCACCGCGAGGTCGGCGACCTGGGCCCCGTCTACGGCTTCCAGTGGCGGCACTTTGGCGCCGAGTACAAGGACGCGCGCGCCGACTACACGGGACAGGGCGTTGACCAGCTTGCCGAGGTTATTCACAAGCTCCGCCACAACCCCTACGACCGCCGCATTATCATGAGCGCCTGGAACCCCGCCGACCTCAAGAAGATGGCGCTGCCACCGTGCCACATGTTTGCCCAGTTTTACGTCTCGTACCCGCGGGCGCCCATCAACGGAACCACTACCAACGGAGAAGATGCCAAGAAGCCTCGGGGCCATCTGCACTGCCAATTGTACCAGCGCTCCTGCGACATGGGCCTGGGGGTGCCCTTCAATATTGCCAGCTACGCCCTGCTGACGCACATGATTGCGCACGTCACGGACCTGATCCCCGGTAGCCTGACGCACGTCATGGGCGATGCGCATGTCTATGTTGACCACGTGGACGCCCTGCGGGAGCAGATCACGCGCGAGCCCAGGGAATTTCCCGGGCTCGAGATTAAACGGGAACCCGGCGGCAGCATAGACGGGTGGAAGGCCGAGGACTTTGTTGTCAAGGACTACAACCCGCACAAGACTATTGCCATGAAGATGAGCGTATAAGAAAGAGATGGCGAAAGGATTAGTAGTCATGGCTCCAAGTGTTAGCTGGAGAAACAGCTTGCGGCATAGGAAGTAGAACTTTCGACAAGGACGGTAAACACTTGTCGGATAAGGTATTTGGGATTTTAGGCGCAAATCATTGGGATCGTATATTAGAGCTGCATCAGCGGAGGCATATTGTTTGGTGCTGGTTGTAGAAATGTATATAGAAAATTCAGACTTGTAACAATATTTGCCATCAACAAAATACATAGCCTTGGCATTCACAGTAAGTCGCTTGACGGCCCCTCCCAGATGCTGAAGCATGATATCAAAGACACCTTGCAGGCTGTGTTTTGAGCCCCAAAAATGGCTCTGTTTGCCCTTATTAGACCTACTACGTGAGTTGTTCATGATAACCTTAGTCAAGGGGTCATGTCGATCAATAATCAAGAGAACAATTGCCCAGAATAGATTGCTTGTAGTAAATCAACTATCAATTTGAAATTGAAGGGGGGAAAAGAAAGATGATTGAAAAAGCACATATGGTTATTTTGCTTATAGAAATTCAAGGCAAGGGCAATCAATGCTCACGTTGCATATTGCAATACCTGAATTGATACCGCATGCATGATTAGATCCGCATATCATATGATCTATGCATGTATTGTGCCGATACCATGCAATGTAATAAGGGCAAAGGTCATAACCCTCTGAATTCAGAGGTTTTACGTACAGATCACTGTGAACAAATGCAAAATTACAATTACCGATTAGTTGTAATAGTCAAATATAATATAATTTACAATTTTGTGAGCTGCATGGAATTGAAACCAAGGAAGCAATTAAATTATGCACTTGAGCAGCCTGAGCGTCGGAAACCGAGAAATGCAATCGGGGAAGGAGCAAACGAGTGGGGACCAACGGAGCGCGGCTGCTAGTGGGGCTTTGGCCAATAGAATATCGCCCAAATGAGGGGCTAACCCCGGGAGTTTCTTTGGTTCTGCCCGTGCTCCCCGCAGCCAAACTTGAGTTTTGAAATCCCGCTCCCTTCATAATCTCCTCCTCCTTTACAAGCAAAAAAAATAAGGATAACCATCAAAGCCGCAGCGCGAGCGCCAGAGAAAAGACACGTCCATAAACATAAAACCCCCGACAACGCGATTGTCGACGGTAATTCCCCAGCCCGCTAACAACAAACACCCCCCTTCCTCCCTCCTCCCTCCCCAATTGCATTGTGTTGTCGACCCAAATCGACACACCAATTCATTCACCGTGGCCAACGAATCGGATATAGCGAATGCCGCTATCAATTCACTTCGTGTGATTGATCCGGAATTGGCCATGTCGTCCGTCGATGTCAACACGGGCCCGGACGACCTGAGTCCCGCCGACGACACTACCGTCACCACTCCCAAGGAACGCCATTCGCTCACTCTCGATCAGCGACGCGCTCTCCGTCGCTGGGCCCACTCGCAGACTACGCGTCCCAGCCACAAGGCTTGCATCGAGTGGTTCTTTGGCCAATACGGTCAGAACATTTCTCAGTCCACTATTTCGCACTCGCTGTCGCCAAAGTATGCTCGCCTTGACAATGACAATCAATTCAGTGGCTCGCGTCTGCGTTTTGGCAATTGGCCCGATGTGGAAAAGCTAGTTCTTCTGTGGCATCAGCAAGTCGTCGCCTCTGGCCGCAACCCTTCTAATGAGGATCTAGCCGACAAGGCAAAATCCATCTTCACTCAGCTCCCCCGTTACAAGGGTGAAACGCCTCCCGAATTCTCACCTGGCTGGATTCACAGGTTCAAGAAGCGCTACGGTCTGCTTATTCGGCGCCAGCGCCGCCATGGCAACGCGCCCAACCCGGCTGATGATATCCCGTATCTCGTCGACGCCGTTCCGCGCTTCATGACCATTACCCAGGAGACCAGCCCTGCAGCCATCAGAGATGCAGTGCTCCGCGTCGTCGGCGTCGAGGCTACTCTGGGCATATGTGCCCGAGTGCGCGACGAGATCATCCGCCGCATGGAGAACCCCGGCCAGCCTCACGCCCCCTTGCCCGGAGCAGATCCGCAGGAGCCAGAGTCCTTTGTTGAGGAAGACCCCGAGGTGGTACTGCAAAACGCACTGCGCGCGCTGCAGCAAGAGGAGGCGGATGCAGAGGCGGAAGCTGCTGCCGTCCGAGACCAGCGCGATCGCCAGGAACAAGGACTGCCTCCTCTGCCGGTCATGCAAACGCCCCAGCAGCAACCTGCTCAAGCAGCTAGGACTGTCGCTAGGTTCACGCCTGCTGCTCCTGAGGAGCTGACCTTGACGCCCATCTCCAGTGGTGGACCAATTGCCTCCAATGACCGCCCTCTGCGGTGCCCATTCTGCGTCAATCAACGCATGTTGAGAACGATCAAGGAAGCTGTCGAGCACATGAGCACGCACGTGGTTGTCTAATGAGACTCGGAATAGACCACCAAGGCATGTGGTTGTTCAGTGGGATGTCTGCGTGGTGGGGAAAAAGTATGATCGACGGCTCGCATCTTTGGCAATGAAGGAATGATGGTGCATGCACGGGCACCTCTCGTCTGGTTTTTGTGTCTGTTTGGCAAGGCGTTACGAAAGGAGTATCGGCTGAATGTCCCCGCTGTTGAGCACACAGGTCACCAGTCCAGCTATAGACAAACTATCGCTGCATCTGTGGCGTGCACGCTGCATCAATTTGCTTTCGGGTCATGTCTGAGGGCACTAAAAACGTGTCATACATTTTGTCTTTGCGTTCATGGCAGTTAATACTTGATACAAGAGTGTGCTATGAGCTTTTAAATTTTATGCTTTTCGTGGTGACTTGTCTTTATTGTAAATTTCATTTACATCAGGAATCGAAATGACGACGCCTTGCAAGCCAGCAATCATCTCGGTCGAGGCGCAAATTCACTCGTGTCCCGAATGCAAACACGAGCATCAGTGCCATGGTTCCAGTCAATGAGCATGGCTTCAAAAAAAATACGAAGCTGAACAATCTCCTTGCCAGCAGCGCACGACACGCGTCTTGTTTCCCCATTGTAATTAGACTCGGTAGCCAACAGAGCATCAGTCATTGAATCCATTTCATTTCCCATCCGGGTCAAGTACACTGAACCACCTAACCTAGGTAGCTATCACAAAGAATTTCCGCACTATCAAGCCATGACTTTCATTTTCATCGTTCATAGCAGCCGACGCCTCTGCTTGCATTGCCTTGTTTGAAAGTTTGGCACCCAAACTATACCTCTCCTCCCCAATTTACAAACATTGCCGTGAGGGAGTGTGCCGGCCCTCCTGTCTCGGCTCAAAAAGACAGCTCCACACGTACCAAGAATGTCCATTCCATTGTAATATCAAGAGGCCTGGCTATGAACAAGAACTAGAACGTCAAAGTAAACGGCCCTGCTCCCAAAAGGAGGAGAGACGGCGGTTACATGGGAAACGTTTTCTAGCATCCTCGAGTACCCCTGAGCACCAGACGGTGGTTGCATGAAAAGTAGACAAAGAGGAACCCAAGTGAGTCAGGCTGGCATTTGGACGTCAAGTGTGGCTCCACCACGAAATATAAGACGGTTTGTGCCTGATGTCGCCCGAGGGTGATTATACGCGACTGTACGAAATCTTGATGCCCATGAAACAAAGAAGAGATCAAATTGTGAGTGTGCTTTTTTCTTTTTCAAAAAGTCCGGCTAATGGACCATTGCCTCCAAATATGCAGATGAGAAGTTCAAAGGGTATATAATAGGAACAATTTCGAAATGTCGACGAACGGGCAAGATGCTGCCCCTCCCCTTTTATACTTGCTCGACGAAAATGACAAGCTTCTCGTTGTGGTCCAGGGCGTAGTTGAGGTCGTTATCACTCATCAACCCTAGCTTGTCTCCGCTGGCCTCATCTCGGTAGAAGAGCTCTAATTCGCCTCCAACCTTGACTCTTTCGCGGACTTTATCGTTCAACATCTGATAGTCAATATCTGATGGGACTCGAATGACAAACGTGTCGCCATTGAAAAAGAGCTTGACTTTGAAAACTGCCGCTTGTTGCTGCGGGGCCATTCCAGGTGTCAGAGAGGTTTGTGATGGATGAGAAAGTCCCGAGTTCTCCCGCGTCATCTGTGGGCCATTTTGCATTTGTCGGGGCGCAGCTCCTTGGGCGCTGTAACCGTTACCGTTTAGATTGTTCCGCGAAGATTGTCCTGATACGCCGTCGGCTGGTGAGTCCGTGGAGGACAATCCAGAGCCTTGTGATAATCGGTACTCGTCGCCGTTTCCATCGATTTCATAGTCGCCTTCTCTAGGCGCAAAGAATTGTCTGACAAGGTTGCATTTTGCGATATAGTCAGGCTGGCCCAAAAGATTCTTGACATATGCATCCAGGTTATGCAATCGGCCCTCTGTGATGGCGTCGGTCACATAATTAACTGGTCCGGGCATGTAAGGCAATGTGCGCTTCTGCGTGTTGGTATTGCCAGCCTCGGCAGGGAATTCTGTAAGAAGGGCGATCTGGAAATCATAGAAATCTTCGTAATAGCGGGACAATTCCCAGTGTCGGCCGTCTTCGAGCTGGGCTTCAATGACAAACCAGTATTTCTCTTCAGCGAAACAGTAACGAGGTATCCGTGCTGACAGAGGAGCTAACAGAGAGTTGCCGGTCTTGGCAGCGCTGTATACGTTTTGTTGGGTGTTGCGCTGCTGTTGCTGAGGAGATTGAGGGTTACTCTGTGGTTGTTGCTTTGACATGGTTAGCCTCTGCACTTTTTTGATTCACTTGATGGCACTCACTTGTTGGCTGGTGCGGTTGCCACCTTGCTGTATGCTCATGCGCTCCATGCCTTGCTCGATGCCGGGTTGACCTTGCTGGCCTGGCGGGCCGCCACCGTCAAATTTGCCCAGGGTGATGCTGCTGTTCTTATACTCGGCAGCCATCTTCTTCCATTCCTCAACACGGGGCACACCAGCCCTCTTCACGGCATCGTGAGGGTTTTGAACGGCTGTGTCTGTAGACATGTCTCGTATCTCAACGAACGATACCGGAATGAGACCGGGACCACCAAGTCTTCCAATCGGTTTAGCAACAAACCATTCTGGGTTGGATTGTGCAATCACTATAATAGCCTCACCAGCCTTGGCTTCCAACTCATCTGCCCTTTCAGCTTGAAAATCGTACATGACGATACCATAGACCATGGCGCCATTCTTCAGCGCAGATTTGGAGTTGCGTTGGCTTGCAGCTGGAGTTGGGGAGGTAGTCTCGGCGTATCCAGAGTCGTGGTCAGGATTCTTGGAACCGGGACGTCCAGAATCGGATTGGGCGCTATCCCTCTCTGTGCGGCCTAGAGCCTGAAAGAAAGAAACAGGCACGAGCCCACGTGCGTCAGGCAAGGCTGGGTTGCAAGCCTCGTACCAGTCATTGTCATTTTCGCGGCCAATGACGTGGAAAAAGTCTCCACGGGAGAAGCTGAGTTCCTGAGCGTTTTGACCTTCGTAGTCATAAAGAGCTCGAATGACCTGTACAGAGTCATGTTAGTGATCCGTGACGGAGAAACAGGCCTCAAGCAGATGAAGTAGGCATGGGCATACCTTTTTCGGCGGGACAATCGCCACAGCAGCCTTGGGTGCAATTGAAACCTGGGCACCCTTCTCCTTCTCGCCCTTGATGGATCTTCGAAGAGCCTTTCTCAAAATGTCAGTTATTCTGGTCTCTGAATGGGTCATTGAAGGGCGCATGAATTCCGAAGTTTGGGTGTACATGACTGCGCAAAATTATGCTTATCCCAAGCAGAACCGAGCTGGGAGGGCAAACAAGAGGTATTTGCACAGATGTCTCGCCAGTGAGAGCAGGAGACGGGTCGTGGCAGGGAAGGGGAAACGCTGGGTTAAAAAGGCGCACCTTCATTGTAGCACAATGTATCGGTTCACGTTTGTGATACCGTAGATGGGTCGATAGAGAGGCGAGGAAAGGTCGGCAAAGGATTGGTTACGCCGCAAATGAGCAGTTCTCTGTGTTTCCGAGGTGCTCAGCGCTGCGAAAGGCAGGCAAGAAAGCGTCACACGTCGGCGCGCTGAAGGTCTGCGAGTGCCGTGCTTTCTGGATTTTTTGTTCAATAGCAGATCTTAGTCAGTGCGACGGAGATGCGTCAAGCAAAGAGCGAATGGCTGCAAATGAATGCGCGCGCTATAGATAGAAGGCGTGGGCAGCGAACAGTTGGCAGGCGACGCTTGTGAAGCAGAGTCTACCTAGGTATGATCTTGTGCAGCGTGCGATGGGTGAAGGAAATGCGAACGAGCGCAGACGTTTGCGATTTGGCGTTGAGTGGGAAATCTAAATGTAGCTAGTAAGATGCGGTTTGTGATTATCGTCGGCTTGGGCGCATAGAATTGTTCGGGTGCCCAATCAGATGCCGTGTCGTAGAATCACAGCCAATGTCTTCGAAATGCGCCTCCTTCTTTGTCGCCTGACTGCGGCCTTATTACTTTTTTGTCTTTCAACCGGAGGGTTTGAATAGTGATTGTGTTGGTACTGGAGCATGCGCCGGGGTCCTGGGAATGAATTCGGTAATGCCGCTCAATAGTAGTGGTGTAGATCGTCGGGCCTCTGGTCCTGTGATCGGTCTCTTTCTCTGCGTTCTGTCTTCCTCTCTCTCTCTTCGCTCGTTTACGTTGTCGCGTACTCCTGTGAAAGGGGGAAACAAATGAGCCGGAGGGTGAAAGTTTGAAGAAGAGGTACAGGCGAAAGCAAAGAAGCAGAAGTAGAAGCAGCAGCGGCGGCGGCGGCGGCCAAAAGTTCGAAGGAGGGGAAACCGTTCACAATTAGGCGCGCCTCCAGAGGAGAGTGGGCATGAACGAACGAACGGCCTGCTGGGTCCTTGCAACTTGGTCTGGGTCTGGGTCTGTGACTGGGTCTGAACTGTAGACTGGGATTGGGATTGGGACTTGGGTCTTGCAGGTCATCGGTCGGTGGTGGGAAGAGGGAAAGCAGAGGTAGAGAAAGAGGGGCGCACTTCGACCCTGGGCCGCGAGTAGAGATCCGCAATGAGCTAGGATTGGCCCTGGTGCAAGTTTGGGGGGTTAAAGGCCAGCGCCCATTCGCTCGGGGCGCGCTTTTTGGGGGGTGTCTTGGAAGGTCGTTGCTCTGAAGGTGGCCGCCGCTCTTGAACCGGTGCGCTTGAAAAGAAACGGGTGGAAAATTGACAGCCCCCAGGACCGCCTTAGGCTCCCCTTTGGGTCCCCTCCGGCCCTTTTCCCATAGGCGGGTGATTATTGGATTTTTTTTTTCTTTGACCGATCAAATGCCAGCCTGGGCAGTTCGGGTTCCTCTTCCTATGTACTACCATGAATGTGTATGGTCAATCAATCAATACTTCGTACATGAATGACGGTAGCTACTGTGTACATGGCGTACATGAGTGGTCCGAGTTGCACACCATTTTCTTTCACCATTACTTTGTTGTTACAACTTGCGGTTGCGAAAGTCGACGGGTATCATGCAGGAATGCCGCGGCCGCGTCTGCGTCTATCTTCTTCGGGAGTTGGGCAGTCACCTTCTCGTGCAAACGGGGCAGTGCATTCAATGCCTTTTCCATCAACGGTTCCATTTTCCCTTTCAAACTCTCTTTTCCTTTCCCCTACATAATCCGTAGGCCATGTTCAAACCAGCACGTTATCCCGAACTTGATTCGTGAACGGGCGAATTGGTACAGGGTTGACTCGTGGGATGTGGATTCCGAGCTGGACAAGGGCTACTGCGGGCAAGGTCCTCATCCCGAGAGCCCGCGCGCCTCTACCTGCCTTGCCCAGGCCAAGCGGCTACAGGCCCCAGGGTACATTATGTGGCCAGCCATGTAACCTACATTTGCCATGGTGTGGGATAAGGTGCAGATTTGTTTTTTTGACTTCAATCCACCATGAGACTTATAAATTGCTGTTTCAATTTATCAAGGGCGTGTGTGATGATGTTGAAAAACACCTTGAAGTCAAAAGCGAGATGTAGTGAACAAAGGCAAGCAGCAGCTCTGGTTTTCTTCTTCTTCCTCTTTTGCGATTTCGGTATCACGGCGACCGAGGTATTCCCCCTCCTTCCACATTGGTTACGCCCGTGTAGATAGGTCACGTCGTCATTCCTTAAGTTTCCACAATTTCGGCCCATAGCTGTGACTTGACAGCAGTCAGTGCTCATGCGAAACATCGAAGCTTGTTACCCACAACATGAATTCGCGATCCCGCGACTCTATTCTCGCCGCACGATACGAGTAGTGGTGAATAGAGGAGGCAACCGACGAGTACCTGGAATGTAGAGGACACTGAGCCCATGACTGTTGGTGCAAAACGTTTTAAAAAATGAACCAGTTTTGTTGCTGCCAACTCGTCGACCGAAGTAACGAAATAGGTTTTCTCCATACTCTATCTCATTCAGGGATTCTTCTTCGAGGGTTTAAAAAAGGAAGTATCCACATACGCATGGCACTGTTGCATTCGGCATTTCGTCAAGCCAGGTCGATGCGCTCGTTCATAATAAAGTCAGCTATCAAACCAAGCCATCCCTCATCGTCTTCCTGTTATTGACTTCAAACCTTTCCGGCCTCGGTGTCACAGTGAGCACACTGAATAATATCATGGCACTGATATATACTTTTCATGGCCAAGTGCCGGCATCGCCTAGAGCTACATACAATATCGTGGCTTGGAGACGTCGTAGACGTCAACGTCCCCATTGTCGAAAATGTCATGGTCATGACAACTTGACATGACCAGAGATAACCTAACCCCCCGACACGAGGTCTGTGGCGAGCGTGCTGGAGGCGGCAACTTATCGATTACACTGCAACAACAGAAAAAAGGCAACAAACTTCACCCTCCGAAAAATGCAATAATCGATGGGATGCGTGTGGCCGCCGCCACCACTGTTGAAACGCCAACATCCGGATACAATCGGGGTTTTGTCCCAACTAGCTCTATGAACGGGGCCGTCTAGACATGTCACCTATGTCTAGGCGACACTTTTGCAATATCCTCTTCCAAAGTCACCATCAGCCCTAATTGAGGCGCCGTCGGATGCCCAGGATTTTGGCCGCTACTGACTCAATCAAACAAGAAGCATAGCAACAAAAGCTGGCCATCTGGTGGGCGGCGAATCACGGGAACGCACCGCTGTGCTGGGAAACAATATGAGCTAAGAACGGTGCAAGAGCTGACTTCCGAATACACCCTATACGGTGTTTGCAAATCTGGTAGCCGCATTTATCTACTTGTGCGACAGGTCCAAAGATGGAACCATAGGATGCCTCTAAACTACACTCATGAGCAATCATCAAAGCGATATGCATCATGCAGGCCACTACCATACCTGGAACCGCCCATCACAGTGATCGACCGAGATAGAGTTTGGCCCAATGTTATTGTTTATTCTTCTCGTCTTCGACCGAGTCGATAAACCCAAAACTAGCCCGGACTTTCTCATGGCAGCACATGCGGGAGCAAGAGTCGAGACGACCGACGTGAGAATACTGACGCTCAAACTGTTGTGCTATGTCATACCAACGAATATGACGATCTTTTCAATGTGTCACGAGCTCTTTGCTGAGATATTTTTGGTAGCCTCTTTTACAACCGGGTAACCTAGGTGAGTACCAAGCGATAGATCTGCAATCCACTGACTGCGTTGATATCTTTCAACAATCTACAGGGTACCGGCAGTCTTAGTCTCAATACCTGAAGGAAGCCGTCCGGCCCACTGCCGCCGCTGCGTGATGATGAGAAAAGAGATACAAGAGGAAAAGTATCGGACGCCAAGGCGTCTCCCCGTTGGACCAACCTTATTATAGACCTGTGCCAAATCGGGCATTCGGAACGAACAGACACGCATGCACAGCCATGCGTTGCCATGTGTGGGACAAGATGAAAGCTTCCTCAGCCGCCTCCCCCCAACGCCTTGGCCATTCGGAATCAACTAGCTGTGCAGATGTGTCTTGCTTTTATATCATACAGTAAACATTGTTGCAGCAGTTTGAGTCTTGGCCCTGCTCGAGTACTGGTTAGTGATGACAGCTATGTTTGCGACTTGTCAAAAAAAAAAAAAATATTAATCAACATATGGTCATGTCACGTACTTGAATGTCTCGCTCACCTCAGTCAGGTAATTTACTGCGTCGACAAATTACCATATTCATGCTTCGATTGCGAAGTTGTAGTCATCAAAATCACAGTGGGTGCTGCAAGTTTTCGAAATGATCAACACGATTTATGGGTTCGCCCACCATCATCAGTCTCCACGCCCACGCAATCACCATGCCGCGTATGGAGCAAGCAAATCATATGCATACAAATGGAATGGTACTCTGTATAGACGGTCGAGCAGTCCAGCCCAGCCATTTGCCGCCCACAAGGACCTGAAAATGACGTAAACATGAAAAAGATCTCGAAATTATTCCATTGTTACCAAAACCCAGAAATTTCCCCTGCTGTTTTTGTTGGCCGAGGTTTCATATTTTTCTTGCCCTCTCGACGGAGGTCTCAGCTAAAGTGTAGGTGGAACGCCCATTTAGGGTCGCGTGAGTTCCCCTTCCAAAAGCCGCATCCACCAAAAATTTATTAGTGAAGAAGCCCCTGGCTCATCTTGACCTACAGTAGCCTCGACTATTCTTCTGCACGATAGCGGGGTGCAACTAATACCATTAGGTATAGGTGAGAAAAAAAACCTCCCGCTGACCTAGTTCATTGATGAGAGGTTTTGTGTAGTTTGTCGGTGTAAGTGA